GTTATTGGTAAAAGTGAAAAAATGTGCCTTTTTTAGTTTTACTTAAAACCGAACGAACTTTTTGGCCAACCCAATATTTATAGCAGTTGTACTGTTCGTATCTGCTAGTTTCATCACCTCCGTCATTAATATTTTCTGATTTTTCCCCCTCTCCAGATTATAGGTCACATTTTCCTGCTTTTCATAGTATTTATGAAATTTTGATTAGATGATATGTATTGTGAATGTTACATTGTTGTTTTTCTGGATTTCATTATATTTCTTTAAAGAAGTTATGCTTTGTTTTGGCAAAGCAGTTAAGTTATTTGCAGATCTGTCTAATATCCTTGAGGCTTGTTTTAAAACTCTGGTCAGTCAGGTTTAATGCAGCCTTCACTCCAGAAATAGTTCAGTTCTACTACTAAGGCATGCCCTTTCGGAGATCTCTATTGAATGCCTCCATTGAGCCACACAGAACACTGGTGCTTGAATATCTTCCTTCTATGTAAACTTTGAGAATCAGTCTATAGATTTCTGGTCATCTTCTCCCCTGCGTTGTGGAATTTCACCCACACATGCATGGTCTAGAACTTAGTATATTCCTAGAGCTCTCTTTTTGGGTAGCTTCCTCTTTGCTGGCACTCTTCTCTATAACTTCCAGCCACCTCAGCCTTTCTGAACTCTGATTTTCATTTTCTCAACTTGGCTACCAGGTTCAATTTGGGTTCCCCTGTACTTTGTGGCCTGGGAATTGTCTGCAGGCAGAAAAAAGGAGGGATTATATAGCTCACCTTGTTTTTCTTTCTCAGGCACCAAAGTTCTGCACTGCCTGCTGTCCTGTCTGAAAGTAGTTTTATATATTCTCTCTGGTTTTTAGCTACACAAGAAGGTTTAACTAAGCCATCATTGCTGCAAGCAGAAATCGCAGGAATTCCAGTGAAATTGGTTCATTGAAAGCAATTTTCCATAACTGAAAGCAATTCTAAATGGTATACCTGCCTATGTTAGAGTGAAAGTATATATGAATTTTTGAATGGAGCATAATAGTGTCTTCATTTCCCATATTCATTACTTAACCTTTTCTACTAACTGAACTGTTACTGTTCTGAAAAGAGTAATTGTTGGAGTTCTTCAACATGGTCGATTAATGACAGTGGAAAGGTTCAGATGCTCTTGGAGCTTTTATGAGAGGACAGATAGGCTGAGCGGAATCCTTGTCACACTAATTCTGTCAATGCTCAGTGGGTGACCTCTCCTTTGGGTTGTTCTTGTCCTGTACATTAGACTAAATTTTACTTCTGGGAAGGACCTAATGAATGTGCTCTGCAGTTTAAGAATCACCTTTTGGGACTTCCGCCAAGATGGAGGTTTAGGTGGATGTGCCGTGCCTCCTCACACAACCAAGTTTAGGGACAACTAAATATTAGCATCAGAAAACACAACCAGAACATGGAAAACTGAACTTTTCGGAAGTCTGCTAACAACAAATTCTTCAGCCCAACCGGTAAGGGGCGAAACCGGCGTCGGGTGAGGAGTTACAAAGGAGGGCTCGGTCGGACCCGGGCGCGGAATCCAGACACGCGAATCCAGTCGCACGGGTTCCAAACCCAGGATTGGACCTAGTGAGCGACCGAGCAACCCACCAGGTGAGCGACTGCAGAGGAGACAGTGGGGAGGCGGTGCAGCGTGTTGACTGTGGTTGCCTAATTGCGCGCGAGTGAGGGAGTGAGCGGTTGGACCGGCGGCGATAGACGGCGGCCGCGGCGGGGATAGTGGGTGCCGCCATTTCCCTGCTCTGACCACGCCCCCACATACAGCGTCACAACCCAGCGACCTGGGACTCCAAGGCGCCGCTTCTCCCACTTAAACGTCCAGAACAGACCTAAAATGTCGCAGGGAGACCTCAAAGCCCCAGAGATAAATCTGAGTGACGAGGAGGTAGCAAAACTCTCAGACGCACAGTTTAAAACACTGGTCATCAGCTTCCTCATAGATCTGGTGGATTATAGCCACAAATTAGAGAAACATATGAAGGCTAAATTAAGGGAAATGAATGGAATTCCACAGGAAACCCATAGAGATGAAAAGGAAACTGGGACTCAAATCAATGGAGTGGACCAGAAGAAACCAAATAATGGCCAAACAGAAAAGAGTCAAGGAGCAAGAATTCAAAGAAATGAGGAGAGTCTTAGGAACCTCCAGGACATCTTTAAACGCTCCAATATCCAAATTATAGGGGTACCAGAAGGGGGAAAGACACAACCACCAATGGAAAAACTATTTGAACAAATAATAAAAGAAAATTTCCCCAATCTGGCAAAGGAAATAGACTTCCAGGAAATCCAAGAAGCCCAGAGAGTACCAAAAAAGTTGGACTCAAGAAGAAACACACCAAGGCATATCATAATTACATTAGCCAAAATTAAAATGAAGGAGAGAATCCTGGAAGCAGCAAGAGCTAAGGGGACAATCACCTACAAAGGAGTCCCCATCAGGCTGTCAGCAGATTTCTCAAAAGAGACCTTACAGGCAAGAAGGGGCTGGAAAGAAATATTCCAAGTCATGAAATCTAAAGACCTACAACCAAGATTGCTCTACCCAGCAAAACTTTCATTTAGAACGGAAGGACAGATAAGGTGCTTCTCAGATAAGACCAAATTCAAGGAGTTCATCATCACCAAGCCCTTATTATATGAAATGTTAAAGGGACTTATCTAAGAAAAAGAAGTTAAAGAAACATGAACAGTGAAAGGACAACAAACTCACAGTTATTAACAACCACATCTAAAACGAAAGCAAACTAAAAGGTCAGCTGGATCAGGAGTGGAAACATAGAAATGAAGATCTCAAGGAGGGTTAGCAACAGGGGAGTGGGAGGAGGAGATGGGGGGAGAAGGTACAGAAAACAAGTGGCATAGACAGTAGATAGAAAATAGATGGGGGGGGGCAAGAATAGTATGGGAAGTGTAGAACCTAGAGGACTTGAGACACATGGTCATAAACTAAAGGGGGGTAATGGTGGGGTTGGGGGGTCAGGGTGGAGGGGAATGAAGGGGGGAATAGAACAACTGTAACAGCATAATCAATTTAAAAACATAAATTAATTAAAAAAAAAAGAATCACCTTTTGAATTCACTTGGGAAGTCTATGTTAATATACCACTGACTCTGAATCAATAAGAAACTGATACTTGGATTGAAAACTATATGTGAAACAACATAAGCATAGCTTTGATAAGGTATTCGTATTCTGGGAAATGTAAAGGCACATGTTGAAGGAAGCTGATTTATAGAAGGATATGCACTTGTAAGGATAGGTTTCCCTCCCGCCCCCCACTGCCTGCCCCAGTGTTGAGTAAAAGAAGCCATGTAATTTGAAGTGGATTGTTGGTGAGTTGTAAGGAACATTACACACAAGATATTGCTATTGATAGTTGAGCTATAAGAAGGTGCAGATAAAAAAGAAACAGGTTGTTATTTATATCTGTTTTGGGGGCAAGTTATTTACTTTCAATTTACTGGTAAAGATCTAATGCCCTTTTTCAGAAATGTTGAATATTGTCAGCAACAGATGTTAGTTTTCTTTTGTTTTTAATACTCTTCAGTCCTGTTTAACCTTCTGAATGACTTGCAAATGCTGTATAAGCCTTTAGTATTCTGTATAGTGCACCATGATAACTTTAATTTTTTGTCATCAAAATGTTGTTTACAAATATGCTGATTTTTTTAAAGCCTAAATAGGGTTTTTCATTTAATTATAAACGCAACTTTGGAATATTGTCAGATCCACTGCTGCTTAGAAAATTTAAAAGTTAGTAAACTTTAAAATGTTCAACCTCACTAAAAGAGAAAGATCACATTGAAGAGGCATTTTTTTAATCTATCAATTTTGGTTGAAGTTTAAAAATGATAATTAGTTTTGTCAAAGGTGTGGCAAAACGGGCATGTCTTTGAACTTCCAGGAAAAAGAAAGGTTTATATGATCTTTCTGAAGATAAGTTTGGCAGTATAATACATCAAGAAACTTTATACTCTACTCAGTAACTTGGCTTCTAGGGATGGTTTTCTTAAAATTGTTAGAAATTCAAATAAAAATGCAAGTAGGAAGTGTTGTAGACAATCGGTGGGTAAATACACACTCTCGGAGTCCGGAACCGAATTGATAAAAATTTTAATGGCCAAAGATTTTCCTGCGCAGGGGCGAACTTCTTCCCCAACTGGGACCGGAGTCACGTAGCTACTCAGAGCTACAAAATGGAAGTCGCGCCTGGCTTACAGACTACTGGGTATTTATATTTTCTAGCAAGCAAGCAAAGGCATACAGAAGCAGAGGTGGCGGTTAGCTATTGGCTTATTTAAAAACGGCGAGGGTCCCTGATTGGTGGATGCTGCTGCTGGCGGGCACTTTCTGGCGGGCCCGGGTTAGTTACCTTATTTGGCTAGAATTTTAAACCCAATTGTTCCCGGATGTTTGTTCATTACCCTGTTCCAGGAACTGCAGATTTAGGGTTGGGTAATGCCCTAGCTGTAATTTTCCTAGCTGGGTATAACAGGAAGGTGTTACAATATTACTTCTAATGAGGTATTAGAACCACTCTAAATGTCTAACAATGAAAGTATTTCAGTTCTGGTATTTTGCAGTTACAGAGTGCCATGTAACCATTAAAAATTGACTTATTTGAAATAAGCAGTATTCTAAGATAGAATAATATAGTCTTATGCCAGCTATTATTTAAAAATGACAGAATGGTCAGAAATATGCCAAAATGTTTCTAGGTGGTAGTTTTATGAGAGATTGCATTCCTCTTCATGTGTTTTCTATTTTTGAAAATGGGGTGGGAAAGTGTTCTAGGTATGTGAAAGTGAACTTGATGTTTGTACCTGTGTTAGGCTTGGAAAGACCCTGGATGGATACCTCACATTCCAAAAGAGGAGGCAAACCATTCATCTCTAAGGCTAGTTATTTTTAGCCTTGACAAAGTCCTTTTTGTTGAAACAATGATTTCTGATCTTACTCTTCAGATAAAAATTTTGATGATGAAGATTCCGTGGATGGTAACAGACCTTCCTCTGCTAGTTCTACATCATCCAAAGCCCCAACAACTTCACGGAGAAGTGTTGGAATGGGGACTACCCGTCGGCTTGGATCATCCTCTCTCGGGTCCAAGCCTTCAGGTAAGACCAAGCCCCAGGTGGCATTGTGGGGTCAGCTGTGCAAGCTTTTGAAGCCAAACATGCATAGTATTTGCCTTCTGTGTTCTTCAGAAGTGAAGCAGTCTTCAATTGCAATATGTTTCCCGTGGCAGTTCTTTACAGTGCTGTTAGTGCAGATGCATTGGTTGGATATAATTTTGAGCTGCTGTGTTGCCATATTTTGGTAAGCAGACTTTGTAGGAAAATGAAGCCCATACTGAGAAAAGCATAGCTAAGAGATAAAGGAATTGACCAAAAGGATGCCCTGATGGCATTTTTTGATTATTGGGATCCAGCAGTGCTTGAAGCTACAGTGAGGCCTGCCTAGACAGTTTTTGTTCATCAAGACTGAGACTATCCAGAAGTTGAGTTGTACCTTTTGTCTTTAAAATGTATTTTGTTACTTTAGGTGGCATTATTCCTTGTGAGATCAGTATGGATATTGAATTAAGTACATGGGTAGGGGATTAGCTGTTTGAGGCTTGAAAATTGATTAGCAAAGATTTCCTCTCTAAATCCCTCCTCTCCCACTTCCCCCCAATTTGGACAGTTTGAATTCTTATTATATACTTTCATTTTGCTGTTCCATTGTAAATTTACATGCAAATTTCCTACTTCTTTCATTCTAAAATATTATGTAGCTACTCCTCTTAGAACTGTGCTCACTGTTAGCTTTGGGCTTTTAAGCTTGCCAGATGAGCTAACTTAATGCTAAAGTCAGGATTAGCATCAGAATGCTGTTTCCTGCTGCTCTTTCATGCTTTCTGAACTGGTCCCAGAGTGTTGACTGGATGAATCAGCACTGTAGTGCTTTGGCCACCAGCATCTCTGTCTGTATTAAAGGAGCTGTACTGATGGCAGAGAGTAACATTCTAATCTTTTGGGGGGATGCATTTAAAAATTTTGTTGTGGTTGGTACTGAGCTTAAATTCACATGGCATAAAATTAAGTATTTTAAAGATAACAATTCAGTGGCATGCAGTATATTCACAGTGTTGTGCAACTAACATCTCTAATTCCAAAGCAGTTTTATGACCCCAAGAGAAAACCCCATACCCTGTATACATTGCCCCAGTTTCCTCGTTTCTCCAGTCCCTGACCATCTCCGATCTGCATTTTGTCCCTGGGGATTTACATATGCTAGATATTTCAGAGAAATGAAATCATACAACATGTGATGTTTGGTCTGGTTTCTTTCAGTTAGCATAATGTTGTGTCCAGCCTTCTGGCATCTCTGCGCCACACTAGAAGAAGAGTTGTCTTGGGCCACGTGTTAAATACACTGAGCCATGTAATCGTAAAAAGATCTCATAATGTTTCAAGTAAATTGACGATTTTGTTTTGGGCCACATTCACAGCCATTTTGTGTTGCTTGTGGCCTGTGGGCCACAAGTTACATATCCCTGTGAGGTTCATCTATGTTGTAGCATGTATCAGTACTTCTCTTATGTCTGAACAATCTTCTAATTCATTTTCTTGATCTATTCTTGGGCAATGTCAGTTCTACAAACAAGGTTTAGAAAATTTCTGCATGATCAGACCATTTCTTTTTCTTCCAAAAATCCTAGCTGTGTAAATTATGCAGTGATATCAGCCCTGTTCTCCCTTTCAGCCCTTATCTCATCTTTCTCCCATTTTGTTTAACAGCATGGTCATGAATTTCTTTATTGGCTCCTTCTCATCAGATTCCTCAGTCTTGGGAGTCCTCTTCCATATGTGGTATGTGGCGCAGTGCCTTTCACAGAGGAGGCCCTCGAGACCTGTCTGCTCAGTGGGATTCAGTTCTAATGCTAGAACAGACACGGAGCACCACGTCTCAGTGTGTTACTCTCTACTGTCTACAGTTGGCCTGTAGGTGCAGTGTGATTATTCATCAGGGTGATGGCACACATGCACTACTGCCAGGAGTCATCCATAAAGCCCTTTCTTTTCTGTCAAGGTTCTGTCAGGATACCAAACACCAGAGAGGTTGTCTAGTAGGAAGCTCTAGAAGATTGCTCAGACTGATCAGTGTAAATCAATAGTGAGAGTTTACAAGGATGACAGTAAGATACCAATTTTGAAACCTTTATTGGGAGGGAAAAAACCTGATGAGATGTTGGACGATTGTGTGGTTCATATCCTAAGTGATAGCAATTAACTTGGAAGTATACAAAGCATTTTATGACAAGCGGGACCTTGCTACTGATGCGTAAATGAAAAATTGACACAGTTCTCATGAGTTCAAAGGAAGTGAAAATGTTGTTAAAGTCGAAATGAAACTATTAAGTTTTTAGAATTTACTTGAATATTTCATAAATTTGTAATGCTAGATTTCTAAAAGTAAATAAACTAATACCCTGAAGAATTAAATTTTTATTACATCTGTTTATTAGAATCTCTCAAAAGATTTATACATTAATAGAATAAAACCATCTGAAACTTTTAAAGGCTAACCTGTCCATCCTTAAATAAGTAGTCTCTTTAAATTCTTTAAACTAATGTATGTAATATTGTACAATTACTATACTTCATCTTTATCAAAATTTAGTAATATTTGTCAATTCCACAACACTCTAAATTTATTTTAATCCTCACTTGAGGATATGTTTATTAATTTTTAGAGAAAGGAGGGAGAGAGGGAGAAATATCGATCAGCTGCCTCCTATACATGCCCCAACTGGTGATCAAACCTTTTGGTGTGTGGGTCAACCCTCCAACCAACTGAGCCCCTTGCACAGGGCTCTAAATTTTTATTAAGCATTAAATAAATTGTTACAAATCTACCAAAATGTAATTTTTATTGTATATATTCAGACTCTTCCAATATACATTGTTTTCTTTTTAAATATTTTTTATAGCTACAAAAGAAGGAGCTGGTGCTGTTGATGAAGAGGATTTTATTAAAGCCTTTGATGATGTACCTATAGTGCAGGTGAGTGAGGATATTTGAGTTTAATTAAAAATAAAGATAGGCTTATTTTTCAAATTTCATTTTTCAAGTATGTGATATGTGACATTCCTTATTAGGTAAGGTAATTTTAACTATTATGACTACAGGAGCTCTGAGGTTGCAGATTACAAATGTAGTCTGCAATGTTGGAAACTTTCAGAGTTGAAATGAAGAGTAAAAGTCAAGGCCCAAGGTGATCTTTCAGTAAGAACTAGAGAAATTGCTTGCTCTAGTAATAAGTTTGTGGGCCAGGTTACATAAAAGGGGGGGGGACAGTGATTAGATTATACAAGGGAGCAAAGATACATGTTTATTAGGGGTTTTTCTTAGGAAGAAAAATTTATAAATTTGAAGGATTTCCATGTCTGAAAAAGCTATGAAGAATGGTTTAATAACAGCTTAGTTTACATCATCTTGATGCTTTACTTAAGTACCTGACAGATGATGCAAAGGTTATTGTGATAAAAGTTGGGGTAAAGTCACACATTTTCAACTGCTTTGAATATGTCAGTGTTGTCTGTTAATGACTGGGGTTAACAATACTTTTTACTAATCACTTGTTACCTGTTCTTTGGTTGCCACATGTGTATAAATAAGATAATAGGTAGGCATTCAAGGCTGAGCTTCATCCTTAAGTCCTTGACCTTCCCAGCATGCCTCATTCTTGGTTGATGCAGACCCCAGCTTGTGGGGTCCACCACATTGTGGATGAGATATAAGACAGATACACATGGACTACCAAGACCTGTGGAGGGAAAAGGATGGCATGGCTTCTCTCTCAAGAGGAGAAAAAACCTTGGCCATTGCCTTGACCAGCTTTTATTGCTTTTCTGGGCACATTACATGATGGTCCTTATGTACTATGCACAGGTTTGCTTTAGGTGGTTACCTTTTCCAGAAAACAAAGGAGACCATGCTGCTAATCACATCACAGAAAAAGAATATTTGCAAATGCAAAGGGAAAAGTGGTTGAACTGGTTATACTCACCCTTGGAAGGTTTAGCACAGACTTGAAGAAGTTACAGTAAGCACTTGCTGCCTCATTCAGGGTGAGGGAGTTTTAGCAAAAAGCAAGTCTCAAAATGGCCTAGGTACGATGCAGACCTGATCCTGTGCATCTCTGAGTGGGAGCTGGGCCCACGCCACACAGAATGGTCTCATATAGTTGATTATTCCCCTGCCTGTCTTATCAGATGTGGGGATAAATAAGAAAGTAGCTTCGGGAGTGATTAAATATGTATAATGTGGTGGTGTTGATGGGAGAGACCTGGTTCTTCTTGCTGATGCATGTAAAGAATTAAATATCAGTAAATCTAGTGGCATGTCATCAGTTTATTAGTGGCCTGTTCCCATGGAAGAGAGAATGGGAGTGGGTAGAATAGGGGGTGAAAGGAAAAGTTTGAGGGCAGAGCAGGGTGACAAAAGCAGGAGCAGCTAAAGACCAGGGTGGCAAGCTCTTGGGTAGCCTGAGGTCTGGTGGCCAGAGGCCCAGTGGCCCTAGAGCCAAGAGCACTCAGAGCTCCCTAGGGAGAGAGCGAGTCCTTTGTTCTGAGGACTTATGTAGTTGGTGGGATAGGAGGGAAAAAAGTTACATATTGATTAATGGGTAAATGTGGTGCCAGCTTTCCTGGGGGAATGTGACTACCCAGACTTAGGTATATGTGGGGGTCTGTTAGCCCGAATCCTTACCTTTTCCAGACCCCATTTGTTCATCCTGTTGTAAAACAAATACATGACGGGAGGCAGTTAATTAAAATTGGGGCACTCTCCAAAGTTATTTATAGGTTCTTTCTGTAAGTATCAGGGACTCCCTCCTAAAACAGATAGTGACCAGGGATAGGCAATTGACAAAGTTGTTTTATGGGCTCTTTCTTTGGGCACTGGGGACCCTCTCCCACCTTCAGGCCTTGGGATGAAAGTACAGTTTCAAGGTTTTCTTTCCTAGATAGTGGTAATGCTACATAGAATTTCAAGGACTTCTTCCTTGCTAACATAGTGTTTCTTGTGATGTTGGAACACCTGGCAATATTATCAGACCAGGCTCAGGGCTGCTGAGTTAGTGTGTGAGACATGTCTCCTTCTGCCTCCCTGCCTCGGTTTACTATTTATTCTACGTGATTGATAAAATGCGTTTCCTGGCAACCAGGGTGCTAAATGCTGGCCAGTAAACAGTATTGCAGTCTCAGAGTTCTTCCTATACTGTGTCCTGCCTCAGTGTTATGTATAATACTAAAAGTCATAAATGACTTGTACATTGCTGACAGTTCCCCAGTAGACCTGTTTCTCTTTATATGTGAATTCATCTTTTAAGTTTACAGAAAAGCTTTATTTGAGGCAAGGTCATCCATACCTGGGCATCATATCTAGAAGATACATACTCACAATGGGAAAGAAGCTCATTCTAAGACAACAAATCTGTCCACATGTTATCTTATAGGTCTTTCAGGAAAATAAAGTGATTTATTTTACTAAACTTATAAAATGCTCTTGACTTCATGTAATTAAGTAATAATCATTTTTATTCTTTGAATTTTCTTACATTGATTGTAAATTAATTTTGCTTACAGATTTACTCCAGCCGAGACCTTGAGGAATCCATAAACAAGATTAGGGAAATACTATCTGATGATAAGCATGATTGGGAGCAAAGAGTTAATGCAGTAAGCCATTGACTTCGTGTGTTACATTCTCATTAGATTTATTTATCTGTTATTTAAATACTTTATTGTGAAATTAGAGCACAACTCTAACTAGTTAATATTTTAAATATAAGTTATTGCATTAACACTTTACTTTTTAGTAGAATATCCCACTTCTATTGCTATTTTTAAAACATGCCAACTTACACCTTTATGTATATCTTGTATTTTAACAAAGACCCAATTGTGGAATGCCTGGTGATGCCCTCCACTCTCATCTTGGGAAAGATGTAAATCTATGATTATTGTCCAATGAAGCTGCTTTGTAGTGCCATTTTCAGTGTGTATTCCTCTATTCCTATCTTGACATCACTTGCTAGAAATATATATCCATTTTTAAAAGTAGGTTAACGAAAGTAAGTGTGCTGAACGTTAAAGGGAAGGTGTGTCTTACCTGAGGAAAGCTATTTTACAATGGTTGGCTGGCAAGAGGGGTGGTAAAAAAAAAGGGGGGGTTCAGTCCTAGGGTCAAATGCCTCCCTCCGCACAGCATCTGTCCTTCCCGTTTACTGCTGGGCCCCCACCTGCCTGCACCTGGGTGGGGCCTCTGAGGTCACAGAGTCTGGCTTGGGCCTTGGTTCATCCTGAGCTCAGTTTTTATCCTGACCTCAGTGGGCAGAGCCCAGGAGCTCCCTGGGGTACTGTGTGGGGTGCAGCAAGGAGGAGGGGAAGGGACAGGAGCCCAGCCCTCACCTAGAGCAGCTGTCTTTGCTTTGCATCCTGGCCTTCCATCTAAGATTCTAGAGGAGAGAAGATATCCAGTGCTTTTAAGAATGTTGATTAGCCCTGGCTGGTGTAGCTCAGTGGATTGAGCATGGGCCTGCGAACCAGAGGATCACGGTTCGATTCCCAGTCAAGGCACATGCCTGGGTTGCAGGCCAGTTCCCAGCAGGGGATGCATGAGAGGCAACCACACATTGATGCTTCTCTTGCTCACTCCTTCCCTTCCCCTCTAAAGATAAATAAATTAAAAATCTTAAAAAAAAAGCTATTGTATTTATTTCAAATTTAGACCAGCCTTTTAGTAATGGTAAGTGAAAGTTACTAAAAAAAAAAAAAAAGCTGTAGGATTTCTTCTCTCTTTATTAAATAAATGGCAGTTGGAGTGGGGTGCGGGCAAAGGTAAGCTTAGAGGGGGAGGAGCTTTTTATAACGTAAAGTGAAGGTTTTAATTATTTTATCATTAGGATAGGCTATATACACTAAAATGTTTTCAATTACAACATGCACTTGTAGAATTGTAATTTGGGGGTTGGCTAAAAGTCCTTTTAGTTTTTCTGATACAGTGAAAGACACATTTTTCATTTTTAGCAGTAACTTTATTGATTTGGACATTTTGAGTATGTCAGCTACCTCCCATGTGGTAAGAACATTTATTGTTCTCAGTTAATTCTCGATTTTATCACTATCAACTTTAATTGGTCTGCCCTACCATGGAACATCGTCCCATGAGAAATCTCCAGCATGAAATTATGGAAATTTCGCAAACCACGTTTGACATGTTCCATCAGTCATCGCACCTTATTTGATACAATCCAAATCTTTTTTTGCATTTCAGTTGCATTTTTACCTTTCTTGAAATAATAAAGCCAAATAATAATATGCCAAAAAGGTTGGCGTATTTTCTTTCATCTTCAGTATTAAAATGGCTAGACAAAAATTTCCCAGTTTTGATGTTATTTTTTAAATGCACAGTATTGCCCTGGCTGGTGTAGCTCAGTGGACTGAGCACAGGCCTGTGAAGCAAAGGATTGCCGGTTTGATTCCCAGTCAGGGCACATGCCTGGATTGTGGGCCAGGTCCCCAATAGGGGACACATGTGAGGCAACCACACATTGATGTTTCTCTCCCACTCTTTCTCTTTCCTGTCCCCTCTCTCTAAAAATAAATAAATAAAATATTAAAAAAAATAAATGCACAGTGTTACAACAGCTGTCACAGTATAATCTAATGAAACTGTTTCAAATGAAGTTAGAGACAACTAAGCGCTACTAGAGCCATCTTACAGAGAAAAAAAAAAAACCGAATGGACTTTTGGACCAACTCAGTATTTATCACTTACTACATTTTAAAAAACTACTTGTTCTTATTTGTGATGTGAAGATTGGTTCAGGATATTAGCTAACATTTAATTGGCTGAATTCTTTTTGGAAAATGATTTCTGTATCATTTAAATTTAATGTTGATCTTATAGATGGCTTCTATTGTTTTGTATGCTGTTTTTTTGTTTATTAATTTTTCTCTATCCCATTAGCTAAAAAAGATTAGATCTTTACTTTTGGCTGGTGCTGCTGAGTATGATAACTTCTTTCAACATTTGAGACTTTTGGATGGAGCCTTTAAACTATCTGCTAAGGATCTGCGGTCTCAGGTAGTGCGGGAGGCTTGTATCACATTGGGGTAAGGACTTCAATGCTCCAATTCTCACACGTCATAACATAGCTTCATCAGAGGCTTCAGAGATGGTTCATTGAATCTGTCTGATGAGTCTTTCTAATGTGCTTTGACTAGTCTCCAAGACCCATTATAGTTACACTTCTGTCAGTACTTTTACAGTATTTTTTGCCCCATTATGTAAAGAGTGACAGATTTTAAACTTTATTTTGTGACTTAGCTCTGAAGCCTCTATTTTAAAAGTGAAGCACTTGTTATTATTCATATGTAAAAATGAAATTTATAACTTCCATTTCTAAGCTTTTCATTGATTTTGTTGGCAGGATGTAGTATGAATATCAGAATTTTTGTTTATAGAAGAGTGCTGTAGTTATAAAATTCAAGTTAAAGGCTTGTATTGCAGGAAAATTCTGTCCTCTCTAAACCTGTATCAGTGTTTAAAGCTGTAACTTCTGTGTTAGAAAGTGTGTCAGAATAATAAGGAAGCAGCATTATAAGGTGGCATTGTGGCTGTTTAAAAGTTTTGGCTTTTGGCTGCAGCCAAGCCAGGGTAGCTCAGTTGGTTAGAGCATTGTCCCAGTATGCCAAGGTTTCGGGTTCAAGCCCCTGTCGGGCACATACCAGAATCAGCCAATGAATGCATAGATATGTAGCACAATGGATTTTCTCTCTGTTCCTTCCTGGTTTTCTCTGAAATCAGTAAATTAGAAACAAAAATGTTGCAAAGACATTTCTTTTCATGTTAACTGCTCCCCCAACCCCCATAAAAAAGAGAGTTTTGGCTGCAGTCAGACGTTGAAGTGTGAATATTTTGTGTTAAAAATAAAAGGGAGGGGGAAAAAGGGTAAGGGAATGTTTTCATGTTTATGTTTTCTTAGTATATGATAATTGTTTTTTGTATTTGGAGTGTAATTAGTTGGAAATGACTTATTTAAAAAAAGGAACACGTTTCTTGGGCTAATTGTTGTTTGCCAGGTCCTCTACATGTATATCTCACATGTATATATGAGACTCTTGTCCTTTATCCCTAGATAATTTTAAATGAAGGCTCTAAAATGTTAAGAGGTTTTATAAGCTTCACTATTTGCAAGAAGTGTAACTACTGTCCATTATTCATTTCTTATTGCAGGCATCTATCATCAGTTCTGGGGAATAAATTTGACCATGGAGCTGAAGCCATTATGCCAACTATCTTTAATTTAATTCCAAATAGTGCCAAAATTATGGCTACTTCTGGTGTTGTAGCTGTTAGGTTAATCATTCGGGTAAGTATGTTTTGGGGCCATACATAGAATAGCAAGTGGTAAATATCAGTGGTTGATAAGCAGTGTTAAGTTTAGAGGCATTTTTTATTAGAGTGGTTACATATAGTTAGGGTCATATTGTACATATAGTATTGGCCATTTTTATGTCACTTAATTATAACGTGAGCCTTTTACATCTCATAATGTGAATTATGTGTATCATGTGTATTTAGTGAGGTATTGATTATTGACTCATTGCTTTTAAATACTCGAATATCTCCATCTGCTTCAGAGTTTTTACTTTGTTCTTTATATCTCCAGATAACACTCCTATGCTTCTTAGTCCCCATTTGTTCCACTTTAGGTATTTGTGCTTGTGGTTTTGCTTTTCACCTGTAATTGTTGTTACTTAATTGCATGTAAGCACAGAAACAAAATATTCTCTTCAGTCAAGTTTTTTAAACATTTATTTAGATTTAAATGATTATTTGAGTATTTTATGCATAAGTTTTCAGTAAAACCTCATTATTCACAGAAGCTTAAAATGAAAGTTCTTTGTATCACCTCTCCCCACCCTCAAGTAATTAATTCCCTTTTTCCCAGAGGCAACCCTTGCAACTGGGGCTTAATGATGTTAACTAAAGTCAACCTAGAATAATCCTGGTTATTGTGGGTTACTTTGTATTATTTTTAGTTTTTATTGTTTTCACTACCTACTTCAAATGTTAAACCCAGAACTATTACTGGACATTTCCATTGAAATAATATCAAAATAAATTGGTCTGCAGATCCCTTTTGAACTCATTCAGACCTCTGTTACTCAAGACAGTTTAGATTTTATACCAACAATTTGTTTTAATTTTAGACTTATTTATGTATCATGTTGTCTGTTTTGACTATGTAAATTTTGTCATGGCCTTTGGCAATATCCAGTGATACTCTTTTTTCCTTTCTAAACTCAGTGGAATTCTAATTTGATGATATATGTGCTTTAGGTAGGTTAGTAAGGAAATGTTTGTCTGAGTTATGTTTTAGTTTTGTATTTTCAAGTGTTCATTCTTTTTTGTTCTTCTCTACAGCACACACACATTCCTAGGCTAATACCTGTCATAACAAGCAACTGTACTTCTAAGTCTGTTGCAGTTAGAAGGTAACTTTTTAAATGGTTTCCTTATTATTTTTGCACTGTTTAAAAACCAAAACAAATTTCAAATTTTTCTCTATGGGAAAAATTTGTTTGAAATGTTTAATATTGTTTAAGGTAGCTGCAGTACCTTTGCATTGAAGGATTATGATCTAAATAGTTGTGAAAGTATATTTGGCCAACCTTATTTATTTGTGCTTACAGACATGCATATGCATGTGTGTGTGTGAGAGGGAGTGAGAGAATGAATGACTCTGTGTGTATGTGAATTAATTGGGATTGGGTGAGGAGGAAGGGTAGAGGGCTCCACTGTACATTTTTTCCTGAGATAGTCTCTCTACCTACATCATTGGAGTAACCCATTCTTTGACTGAAGAAAGTAACTACAAACATGCAAGAAAAAAAGTAAAAAGTATTGGCAGTTATTTAATATTAACATTAAATGTGTATTTGCATCTTCCCATAGTGATTTTTGAGATTCTGAATCCTGACCAATCACCTGCTTCTTTTCATAGTTATGGAAGATACAACCTGGATAGCTAGCCAGGGCTTTGTTCCTAAGTCCCTGTTTTGTCTTCTGTCCTGATGAGCTGCCTTAGATGACATGTGAGGAATAAGGGCTCTTCCAGGTGGGATTCATGATTCTTGACTATTAAGTCACAGAGTCTTTTGAGAGTCTATTCAGATCTGTGGCCCCTTTTGCCAGGAAAATGTAAATACACAGAGGTGGTTTTTGTGTAGATTTTCAGGGGATTTATGGGAACAACTAAAGCCTCTCAGTGGATCATATCAGGAGCTTTTATAGTGTACACTAATGTGTGGGGGCAACTTTCTTCGCAATTCCCCCCAGCCGTTATGGATGAGAGTAAACATGACTGAGACACGATGTGATCTGCTTGGGGAGGAGAAGTGGCCATTTTCCCAGAGGAAAAAAGCCATGAGCAGTGGCCAGTTTCTCAGGGGAAAAAGGCATTGAGTTCCCTCTTCCAGGGGCTTTTATTGGGTTGTAATACTCAGGAATACAGGGCAGCAAGGATCAAACAGTAGGTAACATTTCAAAGAAATCTGAGGGCTTAGTATGAGTCAGAGTCTGTCAGAAACAGAGTTTTAGGGTTTCCTGCTTGAACCCTTAACATATGAATGAAAGTACTCTTAGCAGAGCAGATTTCACAGGTTTCAAGCTTTGGGGGCATAGAGAGGAAACTGAGGCAGCATTTTCTACCAGAGACAAGCCTTGTCTTCTGCGGTTCACATTCCAGAGGTAGTCCCTTGCCCTTAGCCACAAGGGGTCCAGTTACAATTCCTAGAATCAGGCAGAGCGGTCTACAACACTAATGGGCAACAGCCTCTTGGCTTCATTCCTATAGTGCTGTGCCTTGATTCGAGCCCACTGAAAGAGGCCCTTTCAGGCTTTGTACCTGGTGTACCTTAGCTGCCTGCTATTTCCATTCTTTTCTAGGATGTCATGTTGATCCTGCCAGGTGTCTATGCCTAGGGGAGCCTCTTAAGCATGAGGCAGCCCCATTTACATCTTACAGTTTCATGGAAGGCATGCAGAAGAGAAGGGGAATAATCCAACTGTATAAAGCTAGGAAGAAAGAAATTTGCTCCTTCCACTGAAATAGCTTCATTTTGAACTACTTGGCCAAATTGTATACAGCTAAGGAATGCAGTCTGCCCTTGACCCACATTTCAGCTTCTCCTTGGAAATAGAGTGGAGTAGCTTCAGCTCTCCTAGAGATGAGAGTGTGAAGTCAGCAAGGTAGAGGGGTGATAGTGAATTCTAGAAGAGACAGACTTGGGGTGGAGTATCATCTCTTCCCATGTGCTCCTTATTTGTCCTATAGTGAATGAAAGTATTGAGTTGGTCAAAAAGTTTAGTTTTTTCAGTATGGTGGCACTAGTAGTGCTTAGTTGTCTTTAACTTCATTCAAAACAATTTTGTTAGATTGTGTTGTGACAGCTATCATATCAGCATGCTTTTAAAAAAACATCAAAATTGGTGAATTTTTGTGCAGCCATTTTAATATTGAAGATAGAAGAAAATATGCAATGTTTTAATCATATTATGCTTTACTTCAAGGAAGGTAAAAATGCAACTGAAATGTAAAAAATAGATTTATGCAGTCTATGGAATAGGTGCTGTGACTGACTCATCGAATGTGTCAACAGTGGTTTGCGAAGTTTCTAGGTACTATTGACATTTTGGCCAAATAATTCCTTGCTGTGGGGCTGTCTTATGCATTAGAAGATGTTTAGTATCACCCCTGGCCTCTGTCCACTAGAAGCCAGTAGCAGGAGAAAGCTGACATATTCAAAATACCCAAATCAATAAAATAATTGGTGAAAATGAAAAATGTGTCTTTTATTTATGAAAAAAACTTCACGGACTTTTTGGTCAACCCAGTACTACCCTTGTATAGAGTTAGTTGTTCTGCAGATCCACAATCTCTTAGGTAAAATTATTTAACACTTAGTAAAAGCTTAATAAATGGTAACCAGTATTAGAATTTGTTGCTGCTGCTGCTATTATTGTTGTTAGTATTGTTTTAGCTTTCCAAGAGAGATTCAAAGTGTGTTTTTACTTTGTATAAGGTAGAGTTGCTGCAATGAAATGACACAGATCTTTGTGGTAGAACATTACAGGATGGTTAATTAGTTAGCCTGGGCTGCTGTAACAAAATGCCATACACTGGGTAGCTAAAACAACAATGTGTTTACTCACAGTTCTGGGGGCTGGCAGTAGGAGATCAGAGTTCCTCAGTGGCCGGCTTCTAATGAGGGCAGCTTGCAGAGGCAGCCATCTCGCTATGTCCTCACATGGCAGAGAGAGGGAGAGAGAGAGAGAGAGCTCCCTGGTGTTTCTTCTGAGAAGGGTACCAGTCCCAGGAGAACCATACTTCATTACCTCTTGAAGGCCCCATCATTTCCAGATACCATCCATATTGGGGTTAGGGCCTCAACATATGAATTTTGGGTTAACACAACTCAGTATACAGCATTCAACAGTTCTGGCCTTTGGTGCTAAATGTGACTAGCAACCTGCAAGCGCTGTGACAATAGAAGTGCCACTTCTTTCATCAGTTTTTGAGACACACACCCAGATTGCTGTTCCCATATTTAGTCAGAACCATGTTTCTTAATGCTGAAAGAACAAACAGAGACCATCTCACGTAGGCCTTCTGCTTTTAGAAAGGTAGAGAGCCAGGGAGGGCAGTATAACCAAGGCAGTACATTTTTCTGTTTTAACCTGTACCTAGCTTCACTTTGTAAAATTTGTAAGAAGTGAATTGCACAACTTCCCTGCCTTTGAGAAGTTTTATTTTAGTTGGATAGATTGGAAACAATAATGCAAAGCAATATAAGATTCAGTTGCAGCACATTTGGTGGATTTAGGAATTAAGAGAGCAGTGATTAAAACCAGCAGATACATTCTCAAGAAGCTTCTTAGAGAGTTAAAACTTGAGTTGTATTTTTGAATGATGAGTAGGTGAAGAAAAGAGACAAGTTCTAATCTGAAGTTTTTAATTAAGAGACCTTACAGGCAAGAAGGGGCTGGAAAGAAATATTCCAAGTCATGAAATCTAAAGACCTACAACCAAGATTGCTCTATCCAGCAAAACTTTCATTTAGAATGGAAGGACAGATAAGGTGCTTCTCAGATAAGACCAAATTCAAGGAGTTCATCATCACCAAGCCCTTATTATATGAAATGTTAAAGGGACTTATCTAAGAAAAAGAAGTTAAAGAAACATGAACAGTGAAAGAACAACAAGCTCACAGTTATTAACAACCACACCTAAAACGAAAGCAAACTAAAAGAACAGCTAGATCAGGAGTGGAAATATAGAAATGAAGATCTCAAGGAGGGTTAGCAACAGGGGAGTGGGAGGAGGAGATGGGGGGAGAAGGTACAGAAAATAAGTAGCATAGACAGTAGATAGAAAATAGATGGGGGGGGCAAGAATAGTATGGGAAATACAGCATCTAAAGGACTTGAGACACATGGACATAAACTAAAGGGGGGTAATGGTGGGGTTGGGGGGTCAGGGTGGAGGGGAATGAAGGGGGGAATAGAACAACTGTAACAGCATAATCAATTTAAAAAAATAAATAAATTTAAAAAAATGATGTGTTTAAATAATGTCAACTTTGATAGACTTCTGTGTGTGCTGTTAGTGTAAAAAGTTGAAGACAAAACCTAATTACAGATGATTTTTTAAATTAATATTTAAGATAAGAGTTAGCAGTAAAGGTCTCTTTTCACTAAGAGATAAATACATATTAACATATGCACACACACATTTAAAATAAGAGAGAGAGACAAGAAAAGGCAGACCAGGAAATGACATGAGGGGGAAAGGGTAGAAAAAGAATAAACAACAGCCTACATTGGGGCAGGGGTGGGAAAAGTGATAGTGGAGAAAGGATGTAGGCATATACCAGTCTTCCCTTGGAGAAAGTTTGCTGTATAAACCCCCACAGTCCCTACCACCTCTGGGAATGAGTTAAATCACTTTCCTGCGTGTTCTAGAGCCCCTGTGCTCTCACACATAGACCATTTCTTGTCTACTGTGCTTGCTGGGTTGTGTCTTGGTTACCTTCTATCTAACATCTAGCATAGGATAAGGGGTTATTAAAGATTTATTGAGTGATTAATAATTGCATGAATTATGAGGTTTTGAATTGGGAAGATCATAGGAAAGAAAGTCTGATCATTAGACAAAAATTACCTACTGATTTGTTCCCTTGAATGGGTTCCCAAGACTATAAAGATTTATTCCTATAAAGTTGGATATCCTGGACTTTACCCAAAATGGTAATGTAATCCCAAAGGATATGAGACTGGAATTGTTTTCATGCACAAATCAGACTAAGAAAGATCACAAAAGTGAGAAGACTGGAAAAGTAAAGGTACTGAAATAATGAGGAGAGGAAAATAGCTGAGTACCTCGCAAAGAAAATGTAAGCACTACCTAGGACCTTCTTAGAAGGAAAATTGGGCAAACACATTTTGTTTTTCGGTCTATTTTTTTACTTTTTTATTTGTAGGGCATTCTGTGAAATTAATGCAAAGACTAGTTGCCTGATTCTGTAATGTATGTTGATCTTTTGTGCATGTTTGCATACTGTGTTCACATACTATTTTAAGTAGTATGAAAGCAAATGACGAAGGCGTACCTTTTTCACAGTGTTGCCATGAAGCTCAAGCTTCTGATTTGGAGGGAACTCCTGTGTCCTGTGCCTATATCTCTGTAATTTTTTCTTTTGACCACCATAGATGATGAGTTTTTTTCATTTGCTTTGATTGTGTCAATTCTGATTCCATCTTTACATTCCATTTTTTAAATCATAAAAGAAATTTATCAATTGTAAAAAGTAGCATTTGTTCACTTAAGGAAAAAGCTTTTATTTTCACTAACATACAAATTACTGAGTTACATATTTTTTCTTTACAATTTTCAGGCGCTGTTTTGAATTTTTAGATTTACTTTTACAAGAATGGCAAACACATTCACTGGAACGGTGAGCATCTGACGTGCTGTTTTTTTTCCTGAATTGAATCTTGAGAATTAATGACTGAGGGAGTGGTCCAACCCACTTTCTATCAGAAATGAAGGAATCTAAGTATGTGTTTTCATGACTACTTCTGTTATTTCTCCTGATGTGAGCCATATAACATTGGTAGAAGCCTTTAGTGAATCTCTTTGATTGTAATATTAAGGTGTTTAGAGATGTAGGCACATGTGCACTATGACCATTACAAAGCCAGGATTAACTGTTTAATGACTCTGATTCTGCAGCTTGACATTCCTGTCAGTTCCAGTAAGGTCAGTGTTTAAAGTTGTTCTTTGTAGGGAGGGTGTTAACTCTTAGGTCTTATAAGAATTTCACTTGTTTGAAAGTTTCCTCTTTGATCCCTGTTTTAAGAAGTCAGCAGTTTTCTCTTTATTCAGATTGATGTTTTACATCATAATAAAAAGTAGGATTATGACAAAAAATTTTTTAATTCAAACCCGATTTTCTTTTTTTTTTTAAAGATTTTATTTATTTTTAGAGAAAGGGGAAGGGAGGAGGAAATTGAGGGAGAGAAACATCCATTGGTTGCCTGTCCCACGCCCCAGAGCCAGGCTTGTGCCCTCCTGACCCGCGACCAAACCTGTGACCTTGTGGTTTGCTGGGCGACACTCAACCCGCTGAGCTACGGCAGCCAGGGCTATTGCAGAATTCTCGAAAAGTAGAAGTATGCCTCTGAATTTTGAGAGTCATTTTTTGTTATTTCTGAGTGAAATTTGGAGAAATAAATGGTGATGTTATGCCCATTTTTAAATGGTATGTCATATAGTTTATGAAGAACTTCACAGCATATTAAACATTTTATTAGAGCATAATTTTAATAAATTGTCCTAGCAGTCCCATCCATACTGCAAAGGTCAGAGATGAAACAAACCTAGCTTCCCAGAAATAAGTTTTCATCTGAAAATACTTTGAATCTAGAAAATAGTCTTACTTTTTAAAAAATATTTTCTTGTGTTTTAATCTGGTGAGTATTATATCGTCTTTATATGTTGGTAGTTTTGGAATTTAGAGGTGGAAAGAGGGATTTAATGTGAGGATAGGTGAGTAGAACAGAAAAGCATGAAGAACTCAGAAGTAGTCCCGTGCAGTCATTCATCCTAGCTCAGTGTTTGGCACCTAGCAGGTACTCATATTAATTGAATAAATGAAGGAGTGACGGTAAAGACTTTGAATGGGCTGGTAAAATCAGTAGTCTTATGTGATATGAGACTATTCATTCCAGTCATTTCCCTTTTCTTAAAACTTTGTGAAATAGTCAGTGAGACAATTTAATGATTTCTTCTCATCTAGGGTAGAACATAAATAAAGAAGGTCTATTTATAAAATGTTACATAATTTTACAAAATTGTTCATCATACTTAGTGGGGCTTGGAAAAACATTATCTTTAATTATAGAAATGTGATGCAGATGGCCTCTTTAGTATTAAGATTATTATTTCATTAAAATATACACAGTTCTGATTATGGAAAAATAGGGTTTTGTTGTTTTGGCTCTTAAAAGATTAAGCTAAGTAAGTATGGCATAAGAAAAATAAGCCATAACTTTTTTAAAAAATCATACCAGAGAGTAGGGTCATCCAGGCTACTTAGGTGGGGGTGGGGCAGGCAGGGCACTGGAATAGGATTAGAAGACCTACAGAAAATTCTCTGACTTTGTTAAGTTGCACAAAGGCTCTCACGTTGCCATTTTGAGGCTGTTTCTCATGCTTGTTTCAGTCTGTATAACATGTATGTTAATGATTGTTGCTGCTTTCCTTTCTAAATATCTAGACATATATCAGTATTAGCTGAAACAATAAAGAAGGGAATACATGATGCCGATTCTGAAGCAAGAATAGAAGCCAGAAAGTAAGTGTTTATTTGTACACTACTTTTTATATTCACTACTTTTATTTTCATATGCATTGTCTAAATTGCCTTATTAAAAACACATTAGGTTATGTCAAGATACTATGTTAATCATGACTTTTAAATATGACCATGGAAGGTCATTTCAGAATTTTTCTGTAGTTTTTTAAGAGGTTGGTTAGTGCCCAGGCCAGAAAGAGTAATTGATATTATCTGAATATTATCAGAACTGAGGTAGAAAACAGAATGCTCATTTTTAAATTTATGAGCCACTATTACTCCATGAATTGGAAGAGCACTTACATGCATGCTCACTGTATTCTCTTATTCATTAAGCCCTGTTAAAAACCAAGTCATAATCCAAACTGACTTCTTGATTTATTGTGAAAAAGTCCTGGTCACAGGGCTTCTTTCCCTGTGATCACATCTTTGCAACCTAGGTAGTTGTTTGGGAAGTATGCATCAGAGTCAAGGGTGATGGGGTCAGTTGAGGCTGAGGATTATCACAGTGCTGACTTGTTGTTACCATCCACCTTTGAGGCAGTTACATTCCAGTCATGTGGCTGTGGCACCATACATTCAGTACCTCCCTGGGAATAATTTTGCCAGTGTGACCATAAATACCAGAAATTTCATGCTCAGTCTATCTCTCGGGCAGGGAGGACATGGACAAGTACTGCTGATTTTGTACCTGTGATTTTTTTCTATGCTTTTGTGGTTGACCAATCTTCTCCTAGACACATAGCTGCATTAATAGGTCTTGATCAAATACTTGTTGCTCTTTGCTCTATCAGTTAAGTTATATTTCTTTGGTTTCTGAGGGTTTTTTTTTTTTTTTTTTTGAGGATCTCACACTGACGCTGAAGTACTTAGCACTGGTTTATCTTCGGTAGTTCTATCAAAATAAGTCACATAATTAATAGTTGGTAAAAACTATTAGAACTGTATTTGTTCATGATTTTTATCCTTGTATTGTAGTATTCCCCTCCTCCAGTTTTTCTAGTTCTTTAGTTATAATGCAATAACAGTTTTAAGCATTTTTTAACAACTTCCCTTTTTTTTGGTATGTCTTATCTAAGGCAATTTTTAAATACCTCAAATCAATAAGTGTCAAATTGCCTTGATTAAAAACTAACATTAATGAGGCCCCCTTCAGGTTTTAGGTCTACTTCTGGATGTTTTAGTTCCATCTTCCTTAAGGCCCCCAGTCTTCTTGCAAATAAGACAGGTAAATAGGATTCTAGTCCTTGAAAATGTTATGTAGTGTACCCCAGAGCTCAGTGATATACCTGTTATGATCCACTGGCTTTAACAGGAAGTTGTGTGGTTTTCCCGAGGTGTTACTGGGGTTTCCACAGTCACTTCAGCAGAGAAGCAGAGCACTTATACCACACCTTGGAGTCCTCGTACCAGAAGGCCCTGCAGTCCCACTTGAAGAACTCAGATAGCATTGTGTCGTTGCCACAATCTGATCGCTCATCTTCTAGCTCTCAAGAGAGTCTGAAGTAAGGAATTCATTACTGTGAGATTTTATATTTAAAAATTTGCTGCATGAGAATACAAGTTCTAGCTGTACGTATATGTGCCTGTTATAAATCCCCATTACCTCAGATGGATTCTGGTACTAGGTAAGATACTATGGGAATGGTAAGAAATAGGTGGCCATGGTTTCTGTCATAAGTAGTTTTTAGTTAAATTTATATGATAGTACAATAATACAGTTTTGTAGTGAATTGTTTAGTGTCTTCTAAGAGCATGTGCGTATTAACCTGGAGACAAGTTTGTAAAGAGAAGGCATTTAAAACCTGGGATGTAATGTAATATCTTCACTCAGTATTTTGAATGTCTGTCTTTAGTTAGGACTTAATCTCTGTGTGTTTGGGAGATAGTCCAAAATATAATGGTAAAGTGTTTCTGAAAATGGGTATTTATAAGATTGTGGGCCAGATTACTTGAGAAATTCTTAAAACTCTAAAGTAATTCCTCATTCATAATTTCAGTTATAGATTGTGTTTGTATTAATGCACATAAAGTGCACATTTGATAATAAACAGGTGTATATCTTTATTTTTAGTAGGCCGCTCTCTGCCAAAAGAAGTTCTACTGGGAGTACCGCCTCCAGAGGTAAGACTCACAGTGTGGAGAAGGCAGTCAATGGAGGCCTCTGTTACTAACCCCAGGTGGGCTGAGCTTCTCGGAGAGGCTGCCCTTGGCTCCTCACTGGGTTTGCAGAGTGAGCTGCTCTGCCCTGCACTCTAGCTGCCCCCAGTGGAGCCCCGCTTTTCCAGGAGCTGTTAGCTGTGAGGGAGACATTGTCAGGAGGACTTATTCAGGCAGAAATTGAGCCCTGTGACCTTCTCTCACACACTTCCCTCCAGCATGTGTAGACACTGCCACAAACAGTGCGGAGCTTTACTCTGGTCACTTGGTCAGAGAGTAAAGACATGGTGGCCCTTAAAGGCAGGAGAGTGGAATGTTTCCTGAAAAAGTCAGGCATCTGGGTAAGAGTGCACGTTTTTGCCACATCATGAGGAAACTGGCCAGATGAGAACAATATTTTATTGTTTTCATTTCTCATACTAACCAGAAATACATTCATTTCTTTGGGGTTTATTATAGTCTTTGATTATAGCAAGACATATAGTAGGTATGTATAGTTGCAGTCATTTAAAATTTCCTCAGCATGGGTTGAACTTGTCTTTACTGACAAGGAGGAAGTGTTGGTTAGTGCTGTATGTTCCAGCCTCTCTTAAAACTTGATATTTGCTGTGAAGAAAAGCAAAGTAGTTTTAGCAATACATGTTTACAATTCCAGTGTAGTTCTTACTAATGTTTTTTCCTTTACCACTAAAGCTTCTTCAGTCAGTACCAAATCTACATCAACAACTGGGTCCCTCCAGCGGTCTCGAAGTGATATAGATGTAAATGCAGCAGCCAGTGCCAAATCCAAAGCCGCCTCAGCCTCAGGCACTACACCCTTCAGCTCTGCAGCAGCCTTACCTCCAGGGTCATATGCATCCTTAGGTAATCAGATCCCCACCATCTCTTCCCCCAAGTCCTGTCATTTGGGATGACATGTACCTCTGCTCAGATTTATTTAGTTAATTACAAAAAGTAGTAATTGAAGAAATTGTCACTGTTGCAGTACTGATGTTTAAGTATAAGTGACTCTGTGCACTTACTGCTGATTAACAGTTCCCTTTGTTGAGAGTTTACTTTCTCTGGACCATCAGCATTTTTAGTGACAAGCAGGTACTCTGGTGCTCGCATGGTGTGTGGCACTGACACGGCCTTCCTTCAGCTCCACTCCCCACTTGATAGCAACCCACACAGCTCCCTCCCATGTTGCCAAAGCTGGCGTTTCTCCCTCCTGACATTGGTGGGATCAGGGGGGGAAGGGTTTAGTGAGGAATTCACCAAAGATAGTCACTGTAATTAGATATTTTCTAATTTGAGAATGTAATTGGAATGGGGGAGGTGTGGAAGGAGCAGGAAAGGGATGACAACAGGTGTGGACGTTTTTTAAGATTATTGGTTTGGTTGTTTGTTTATTCTTAGAGACAGGGAATGGAAGGAGAAAGAAAGGGAGAGAAACATCCATGTGTGGTTGCCTCTCGTGCACCCCACACTGGAGACCTGGCCTGCAACCCAGGCGTGTGCCCTGACTGGGAATCGAACCTGCAACCCTTTGGTTTGCAGGCCTGCGCTCAGTCCACTGAGCTACATCAGCCAGGGCTTTGGCATTATTAACCAACATAATTATACAAGAGTGTTGTCTTTCCATGCACCACTTTGGGAAGAGTGTACACTTAATTTAACGATAGCCTCAAAGATTAAAAATACAATTTTCAAAAGAATATCTGGCAGAGTATTATGTCATTTTCTCAGTTTTTCAGCAGATACTACATACCTACCATAAGTAAGTTAATTGTTAATTTTATTTTTGTTAGAGCAAAGTTGTTCAAGGCCAAAATCTGGGGACTTTGCTGAATCGGTTTTATTTTGAATTTTTATGGAAATAAATATAATTTAAACTTTATGAGACATTGAGATGGAATTACCTGATTTACATATTCCAAAATCAGTTTCAAAATTAGTATTCTAAAAATGTTTTGTACATGGAAGCATAATGACAGAACAAACACCAAAAGGAGATCCTGGGCCTGCCCATTCATTAGCCTGGGAACCTTGAGAAAGCCATGGAATCTTTGAATCTCCTATACCAGGGCTGTCAAACTCATTTTCACCAGGGGCCACATCAGCCTCAAGGTTGCCTTCAAAGAGCTGAATGTAATTTTAGGACTGTATAAATGTAACTGCTGTTTAACAGTTAAGTGAGAGCTTGGTGCTACCTCCTGATAGAAACAAGGTGCCAGGTTGGATAAAACAAGGTAGAGGGCCGGATTCGACCCATGGGCCCTGTATTTGCCACCTATGTCCTATACTTGTACATTATTGTAATAATGTACAATAATGAAGGTTGACTAACTCAGACATATGATAGGGAAAGAAACTAATTATGACAGGAACATTATTGGTTTGAAAGGTGTATCTTTGGAATGTTTGGTAAGTCAGTCTTATTTTCTGTATGTAAATACCTCATACATGATGGATACATTTAGTTTGGGAAGAAACCCAACAGGAGCCCTCCTTGTGTGCCATTTAACTGATATAACATTACATAGGAGTTTTTATGATGTTATGTTGCTAGAGGAAAGGCAATAGTTTTTTATGGTAAAGTAGTTCTATTAATTTTAGTTCAGTTTTTTAAGTACTTTTCTGTGTTTCCAGTATATTTAATCCACACTTGAGAGTTTGTAATTAGTATTTGTTTCATTGCTGAAAAGCTTGAGTAAAAACCATTTAGAGTCCTCAGTAAGTAGATTTGTTTTCTGTTCATATTTGGGGTATTTTAATATGGACCATGTAGACATCCATGTAGATCCCTCAGTGCTAGTCAAAGCACCCTGGTCTTTTGGTCTGGTGATATAGAGTTGATCTTCACTGGTAAATTTTCAGCCCAGTGTTACCTCTTCAAATAATAAAACCTGGAGTATTCCCATTCTCTTACCTTTTCCTGACTACTTCTAACTTTGATTAATGTTCAAAACAACAAAAAACAAAACCACCATGAAATACAACATCATCCTACTGAGGAGTTTTTACAGTTACTACTTAGGTTGATACATCTGTGCAGAAGTATAGCATTAAAGTTGATGATCCTTTTCCGAACTTCTAGAGTCCAGACACATGAGGGAAGATGTGGAGTCAGTAGGCCTTGATTCAGGTACCATGCTGTACAGCTTTGCTGCTGATGAGTAGTTGGGATAGTCATTGCTAGAGCTAGCTTCTCTGAACTTCTCACTTGCTTCTGCCTTTTGGGTGACTCTTTTGTAGTTTAGTTTTTAGTCCTGTGTTCTCCTCCCCGCCCCTTGTGGTAGTACTTTGTTTCAAGAATCAGGAACTCTTTATGGGATGAAGGTTGACTAAACAAAAAAACAACAGTCACTATCAACTGAGACCCTGCCCTGGGTTGCGCTTTTTTGTGTTGTTTTCCAAAGGCAAAAGCCCATGATGCTAGGCTGATTTTAAGATCAGGCACTTTTACTTGCTTTCTACTCTGCTTTGCTATTGAACTTGTTTCCCTTTTAATTTTATTTTAAATTGTACTTTTGCTTTCTTTGGTAGCTAATAACACTTTGCTTTTTAAGTTTTTTAATGTTACTAACTGTTCCCTGTTATCCCTTCCCTTGTTTTTTAATTTGCTTAAAGATGGTACTGCCACTAAAGCAGAGGGTAAGCAGTTTGTTTCTTTGATAGAGGTGTGTCTCCTTCTTCTCAGTCCTCTGTTTTCACCAAGTATTGCCTCCTGCCCACTTGTCTCACTAAGGTTCCTGCATGAGACTGCACGTTCTTCCCTTCACTCTTCATTCTGTTTTTACTGGGTTTTGCTTTACCTTTACCTGCATTCTCTTCCTTTCTTGTTCAATTGTTGTTCCTGTGAATTTGGCACTTAAGAATGCTGTACATAATTTTTAACTTTGAGCCCACACTGGGGAGTAGCATTGGTGTGACATTGTGTGCTGCTGTCCTGGCTGCTCGTCTCAAAGAGTCTATTACTCCTGAAGCACCTGACTTTTATATCCTTTCCTTTCGGTTCCTTTACTTTTCTTTTGTGCTTTTGTGGGCCTCTCAGAATATGCCTTCCTGTTTTGAAAATAAATTTGTGTCAATTATTCAGGTTAAAGGCTCATAAAGGCTTTCTACCAGGTAATTTACAGACATTTTTTTAAATACGTTTTTCTCCCCTAATGGTGTTACTGAATTATATCATATCATTTTTATCGGTATCACTGACAGTACCCCATTCATTCATTTATTCTCATTTATTCACTCATCAATCATGTAGTAAGTGTCTTCTCAGTGCTGTGTTCTCTACCACACACAAGGACATAGCATGGTCAAAGGAATGCACGTATCCAGATCCACTTTTTGTTTTTATACCATTCTCAAGAAGGCCTTGCCGATTTTACACTGACCTTTGAATTTTAGACATAGCTATTCTAGTCTGTACAGGACTTTGATTAGCACATGCTAAATAAGATCATCCCCTTGAAAAATCTCTAATAGAAAGCATGATGGTTTATATAATTGAAATTTATGATGACTTCATCTGCTTAAGATAGTGGCTTAGAACCACCTACTGTCAGGATTATGATTTCACAATTATGAACTGCTAGTTTACTTTCATATATTATTTAGCTACTGTGAAAGGCTAACCTGTGAGGCAGACTGCATTTTATTTTGATGTATTTAGTTCACAATACTTTTATTTATTTATTTATTTATTTATTTTAATTGTTGTTTAAACACAGTAGCTCACAATTCTTTTAATCTATTACTCTGATTTTGTACAATACTTTTGTAAGATATTACCATTAAGAGAAATTGGATAAAGTGCAGACAGGATCTCTCTGTATTCATACAGTTACATCCAAGTCTATAATTATTTTCAAGTTAAGTTCAATTTAGAAATAGAGTTCTTAAAACTATTCCACCTCTCCAAAAGCATGATTTAATAGAAATTGTGTTCTTAATAGTATTATTTTTATCTATAAGACTAATGTTTAGTAAAGCATTTTTTTAGGAGTTTTAAAGTTTTTGAGAGAAGGGTAGAGGGGACGAAAGAAAGGGAGAGAAACATTGATGTGAGAGAAAAACATTAATTAGCTGCCTCTTGTATGTACCCCACCTGGGGACTGACCCCGCAGCCAAGGCATGTGTCTTGATCAGGAATCAAAGCCATGATCTTTCGCTGTGAGGGACTATTCCCAACCAACTGAGCCACATTGGTCAGGGCAGTAAAGCATATCTTTTTAAAAAAATGGGGACTTCTGGCCAAGATGGAGGCACAGGTAGATATGTTTTTCTTCCTCACACAACCAGAAGGACAACAACCCATTTAAAAACAAAAACAACCAGAACTACCAGAAATCAAACCATATAGAAATCCAGCAACCAAAGAGTTAAATAAAAAATATTCATCCAGACTGGTAGGTAGGGGTGGAAGTAGGCAGGAAGGAAAGAGGTGGGCAACGGGATGGCAGGGAGCAGGGAGAGGACCTTGGCTGGCAGATGGGGCAGTCCCATATTTGCATGCAGATAAACTGGGAGGAATAACTGGGGAGTGAGACATGGTTGCAGCTTAGGGAACTAAAGCCTCAAAACTTCTGCCTGTGAAAAACTGAGGGCTTATGGCCAACAAAACTCCCACTCTTACGGGAGAGTGTTGGAGGGGTCCGTGGGGTCCCAGAATGTACACAGACATACCCATCTGATAATCAGCACAAGAATGGCCCAATTCACTTGTGGGTAGCAGGGGAAGTGACTGAAAGCCGGGCAACAGCTGAGCAAGCAGCATTGTTCACTTTCCGACCCCTCCCCCATGTACAGTGCCACAATGCAGCACCCTGCCCTGCTGAATACCTAAGGCTCCACCCCTTATAATGTAACAGGTGCTCCAAGACAAAGAAATATGGCCTAAATGAAAGAACAGATCAAAACTCTAGAAAAAACTAAGCGACAAAGAGATAGCCAGCCGATCAGGTACAGTGTTCAAAACACTGGTAATGATTTGAGTTCAGTTGCAAAATGAAGGAAGAAGTGCATGCTATACAGGGTGAAATAAAGGAAAGTATACAGGGAACCAACACTGAAGGGAAGGAAACTGGGACTCAAATCAACAGTTTGGACCAGAAGGAAGAAATAATATTCAGCTAGAACAGAATGAAGATATAAGAACTCAAAAAAAATGAGAGGAGAGGCTGAGGAACCTCTGGAATAACTATAAATGCTCCGTCATCCGAATAATAGGGGTACCAGAAGGAGAAGAGGAAGAGCAAGAAATTGAAAACTTATTTGAACAAATAGTAAAGGAGAACTTCCCCAATCTGGCAAAGGAAATAGACTTCCCAAAAGTCTAGGAAGCTCAGGGTCACAAAAGAATTGGATCCAAGAAGAAACACACCAAGGCACATCATAATTAAGTTAACCAAGATTAAACATGAGAGAATCTTAAAGGCAGCAAGAGAAAAGGAGACAGTTACTTAAAAATGAGCTTCCATAAGACTATCAGCTGATTTCTCAAAAGAAACCTTGCAGGCAAGAAGGGGTTGGAAAGAAGTATTCCAAGTCATGAAAGGCAAGGACCTACATCCAAGATTACTCACTCTATTCAGCAAAGCTATCATTTATAATAGAAGGGCAGATAAAGTGCTCCTTAAGTAAAATCAAGTTTAAGGAGTTTATCAGCAGCAGTTCCTTACTGTATGAAATGTGAAAGGGACTTATCTAAGAAATAGAACAAGATAAAAAAAACTATCAACAGTAAAATGACAACAAACACAACTATCAACAAATGAACCTAAAAAAAACACAATATGCAAACAACTAGAACAGGAACAGAATCACAGAAATGGAGATCACATGGAGGGGGTTATCAGGGAGAGGGGCAGGCAGAGAATGGGGGAAAAGGTACTGGGAATAAGAAGTGTTAGAGTAGGTACAAAATAGACAGGGAGGTCTATGTAGAAGCCAAATAACCTGTATATATGACCCCTGGACATGAACTAAGGAGAAGGCAATGCTGAAGGGAGGGGGAAGTGCAGGGCAGATGAGGACAAAGGGGAGAGAAAAAATGGGACAACTGTAAGAGCATAATCAACAAAATATACTTTAAAAATATAAAGAAATGCAAGAGAATGGTGAACAGTGGGAAAAGGATCATGTTACCAAATATAGAGGAAGATAAAGGATATAAGGATAAAAGCAAAGTTTTATTTTGTAAGCTGAATGGGTATGAATGTTCATTTAAAAAATCAATTTTTGACTTAAATATTTTGTAATAAATTTAAAATAAGAAATTCGGTCTTTTTTTCATGTTCACTTTACCTTGGTTGCCTGTCTTAATTGTGCTTGGTGATGTCCATAGGAGAGTAAAAAGTCTTCACTCGTAGGTCAGCAAGCCAGGCAGGCACAGGTATCCAAACTAATGTGACCTTGGACAGATTAATTCATTCTCATTTCTCGGTTTTCTCATTGTAAAATGGGGATAATTACTTACATGTTGTTTTGAGGATTGTGAGTTCATACATATACACTCTTAGTATAATATATGGTATAGCTCTTAATTTTAGTATAGATTCTAGAATTTGTGTATATCTTTCCTTAAACTGCTATTAAAAGTCATTCATTTTGTTTGTTTTTAATGCAATACTTTTCTTGCTTCTTACCTCCCTTTCTTGAACCTTTTTCAAGCCTTCAGATTTGTTTTACTGTGTTGCTTTTCTGCAAGCTTTCTGTCATGATGAGGTAGAAGTGGTTTTGAACAATATAAGAAGCCAGTAGGGATTCTGATTGGTTTGTGTTTTCTCTATCATATTGCTGTATGGCAGGAGAGGCATTTTGTACCCCTTTGAAACAACAAAATCCCTGAATTTAAAAAAGTTTAATTCTTAATCACACAAGTCTGTTTGTTCATCAGTGATTTTGAATTTGTGAGTTTATTTTTATTTTTATCTTTTCATGGTTCAATAATTGGGGTTAACAGGCCGCTAGAGTGGGAAACTTCATAAATGCCGACAACATGGTACTATTTTTAGGTCATCATTTCTCTAGGTGTTTCTAATACTTATTTTTTTTTAATTAAAAAAATTTATTTTTCAATTACAGTTTCACATTCAATATTATTTTGTATTAGTTTCAGATGCTAATATTTATTCTTTTTATTTTAATTTTTTGCAGCCTGGAAATTTATGGCCACACATGCTTTATAATAGGAGTTTAATGCTACTTATCAAAATACATTTATAATCCAGGGCATTGTAATTTTTGTTGATTGCTGAGTATTTTGCATTTACTCATTTTTTCTATGGTATTTTTAAGACAACTAATATTTTCTGCTTCTGGAAATTTTACATTTGTGGCCAATAAAAAAGAATATTTAATCAGAAAAAATTGTGAGAAAAGTCCTCTTAATAAATATTACCTCCTCATCTGAAAATATGACATGCTAAAGTAGTTGAAATACTGGAGCCTGATAGGTTCACAACTCACTTTCAAGAGTTCCTAATGCAGTTTTAGAATTCGTGTGTACAGATTTCATGCATGTGTGTGTGCATAGGGAAACATGTTAGGACCACACATGGAGAAGACCTGCTCCCTCTGTAGGTGGCCCAGTCAGTGCCCTTTACTTATGGGTAGGTTGTTTCCTCTTGTAGGTCATACTTACTGAAAACCTGTGGAAACACTGTTTCTGCTGTATTCTCCAGGTCGGATTCGTACAAGACGACAAAACTCCGGGAGTGCCACCAACGTTGCCTCTATACCTTCTGATAATCGAGGCCGCAGTCGCGCTAAAGTAGTTTCACAGTCTCAGCGTAAGAAGTATATTTCATGCTCTCTGTTATTTTGGTTTTATTTAATAGCCTGTACTCATTGACTCCAGGGGGAAAACAAATTTCTGTGGCTCTAAAATACTGTGAGTAGTCTTCATGTTTCTTGGGTAAGCTTACAATGGGAGTGTTCAAGTGTAATTTTGTTTCCTGCCCAGGTGATTTAAATATTTTATCATTCCTCATGTTAAAAGTACTTTCTCTTCCTCTTCTCAAGCCTCTCCAGCTGAAACATACCTGGACTGTGACCCATTTTTCTATTGATAAGCAGTCCTCCAGTTATAATTTAAGAGCAGTACCTGGAAAGATGACTGTTAATGCCAGGTCCTTTTTCCAGTGGTCATAAGTAAATCCATTAAAAGCTCTGCCCTCTAACCCTCTGTTCTAATATCACAGCCTGCTTTTTTTTCTCTTCTTGCCTGTGTGGACTCTTGCTTTTGCACAGTGGCCCTTGCCTCCATTATTGCTTCTCTGTATATGTCGAGTCACACGGTTTCTTAGCCTGAGTGAGACATGAAAGCAGCCATAGATGGAATGAATGTATTAGGATCCATCCCTGGTGTCTCACCTCCTAGCTGCATGTGACTTTGAGTCCCCTGCTCCCTCTTTGTGCATAAAGAGTAGAGCTGGGTGGCAGGGTCCTCCTGAGCAAGCTCAGTGTGTGGAGGGAAGTTCCCTTTCTCAGGAGCTACAGTTATTCTCTCCAGACGACACTCTTCAGCTGATGTATCTGCCTACCTGTGTGTAGACAACACTTAGTCTGTGCCCAACCCTCATTTGCTCTTAGTATTTAAAATGCCTTTCTCAGCTCCTTCTGAATTTAGATACTTTTCCACGTCCCTTTGATAACTATAGTCCTTATGGTAAATAAAAGCCTATATATATCCTTTCTGAAAAGAAAGTTCAAGGTCAGTTGTATTGCTGCCATCAGTAAGAGTACAGAACCCATGCTTGCCTAACACTGAAACCCATTCTTTACACTACACAACATGGATTGTACAGGTGTAGTCCAGAAGCTTCTAGAATCTTGGCAACAATACCCTGGTTCTGGTTATTCTGTTGAACCATAGTGTTGCCTGGAGTCCATGGTCCCTTTTCTTTCAAATTCAGTATGTGGAAATGGGGATAAATAAAAAATGTCTGACCCTTTTAGCTGTGCAGTGTTACTTCCTTTCTTAGAGAGTAAGGGTTGAATAGTATTTTACATATCTTCATTTATGTCCACTGTGTACTGGTTTTGGCCTCTGAAGGGGTCTTTGCCTCTATCTGGGTCCTCTGCTTAAGAGGCAGTAAAGATTCAAGTCCTTCTGGAGTAGGGGTGAGGGTGATGATAAAGCTTTAATTCTTCAGTTTTACAAAAACACTGTATCCTCCCTGATTTAGGGCTCCACTTTAAAACTCTTCAGTTTTACTTTACTCACTAAAGGAAACAACATCAACAAATGATAATGCCTGGATCTTAAACTTATACATAGGAATTAAATATTTAAAAAAACATTTTAATAGGAAGAAAATAGCACATTTATACATTTTGCAAATGTAGATAGACTAGTATTTAGAGTTCTGGTTTAATAGTAAGTAGATTTTATTAATATATTTAGGGCCCTTAATAGGTGGCATATTTTAAATATTTGAGTCTTTAAGTACTTGAGGATTAATATTTAAATATTTGAGGATTTGGCATAAGGCACTTAAGGTGTAACTAGTTAATAGTGTTCCCTTTTAATTCATTTTATGTTCATTGAGCACTTGTTAAGCCCTATTTCAGATGATAGTGATACACAGATTACTAACATACAGTCACTTCTCTCAGGTTGCTAGGAGCTAGAGAGCAGTTATACTCCCAGAGGGTAAGACACCTACCTGTCTTACTCTTCTCTGCATCCGCTACACCAAGCACTGTGCCTGGTACATTGTAGGTTTGTAAATATTTCATGTACAGATGGGAAATAAATGCTAAATAGTGTGACATATATGAAATAATGAACATGAGTACAAAAATAGAATAGGAGGAACACGATGTAGAAAAATAGCTATTTTGCTAATGTGTTTGTGAACAAAGACATGTGTTTGCATGCTGACCTTCTGTATTGTCTTTTAATCTACTTTTTGCCTGTTCTTTGGTTTGCTCTCATAATCAAGGATCCAGATCTGCTAATCCTGCTGGTGGTAAGCCATTTCTCTTCTTGCTAATTTTTTTTTTTTGGTCCATTCTCTCTCATCCCATTTTCCTTGCACACAATATTACTGGTAATTTCTTTATCACGAGCTTAGTTAATCTTCCTGCATTTTCTCTGTATGTTCAACTTCTAGAGTTTGAAATGGATTTGTTTTCTACTTTTACATAGCTTAATAGTATATTTGTATGCTCAAATTCTATGGGCAAATGATCATGAGGTGGGTTTTTCATGGTAATGTGTACTGGTGATTTTTACAATGAATTTCACTTTAAATTATAGTTAAGTCATTATAGAGTACTGATTTTTGTGGGTGACTACCTAGGTAATTGATTAGAATGATGGGAGTGAGTGTGTGTGTGTGTGTGTGTGTGTGTGTGTGTGTTTGTGTTTTAAATTTCCAGTAGTGTTATTTCAAAGGTTTCTACCTTTGGTTCATGCTTATTCTGGTAAATAATAATGCTCATTTTATGTTTTACAATTTTATTGCCTTCTGACTTAAATAAATGACCTAAGTAAATGACTGCCATTTGGGTGTGTTAGTATGATCGTTAAAATTTTACTGTTTTCTCTAATTTTGTCCCACAAGAAATGGTTATTTAGGTGCTTAGTCACTTAGCCATAGTGAAAATTACTAACCATATCATTTATTTATAATCTCTAATTTATCGCATACATCTCAGGGAATGTGGTCTGTATGATGGCTACTTTTGTAGATTTTTAAAAAATATTTTATGTTTTAGAGCAAGGGGAAGAGAGGGAGAAAGAGCGAGGGAGAGAGAGATAATGATGTGAGACAGAAACATTGCTAGGTTGCCTCTGGCACACCCCCAACCAGAAACTTGGCCTGCAACCCAGGCATGTGCCCTGACTAGGAATGTAACTGACAGTGTTTCAGTTTGCTGAACAGTACCCAACCCAGTGGGCTGCCCCAGTCACGGCTTCTTTTGTAGATCTTTGAGGTTTCCTTTGAGGCTTAGTGTACATTTGGGTTTTGTAACATGTGTGGAAAGGTGGAAAGAATGTATATTCTGTTTGTTGAGTTACACATGTATGTATACGTGGGAGGGTGTTTATACATACCTATTTAATTTTGATTGCTTGCTCTGTCCATTTCTGAGAGGTATAATAATAACTACTGAGAGAGTTTTTCAGTAATTATTAGTCTTTCTGAGAGGTATTTTAATAATTATAACTTTCAGTTTTTTCCTAAAGCTCTCTTATATTTCAGAGTTATGTTATTTGGAGCATAGAGGTTCATGATTATATCTTCATGGACAGTTCTTTTATCAATGTGAAATATCCTTTATTTAATACTGTGTTTTATTCTATTTTGTTGTTAGGTGTGTTGTTTGTCTCTTATAAACAACATACAGTTGATTTAATTTAATTTTTTTTAAAGCCCGTCCAAAAATCTGTTTTCTAATAGGTGATTTTAATCTAGCCACATTTATTATGATTACTGATAGGTTTGAATTTATGTCTAGCATTTTATTTTGTAATTTTTATTTGTCATCTTTCTAGTTATTTCTTGCTGTTCTCTCCTTTCTTCCATTTGTTATATTAATAGGGTTTTCTTGTATCCATTTTTGACCACTAATGTTTAAGAAATTCCTGTTACATTTACATTTCTACTCTTCTAGCCTGTACTTAAAGGTTTTGACAGTGTCACTCTGACAGGAAAAAAATAATAAACACTTGTTTGGTTATTTCTAGAAATTTGATGTGGAACAGGGAGGTTGTTTGTATTCAGCCTGCTCTTTTGAATCAAATTTTAGTTATTTTTATAACATTCTACCAGTAAATCATCTGTGTATAAATATTCTTTTATGATAATTTGATGTTCTTTTATGTTCTTATATTTAAAAAAATTAGTATTAATACCAGCTACAAAGCTCGTTTTATATTTGATCCAAATTAATGTATAAACTGGCTTCTGAAATTGCTATAATTTATTCCCTGATTATATCTGTTATTCATTCAGTTTTGGTTTTGCTTTATTTTTAGCTGGCAGCCGGTCAAGTTCCCCAGGGAAACTGTTGGGAAGTGCTTACAGCAGCCTTGCTGGAGGTTCCTCCAGGGGCCCGCCTGTGACATCCTCTTCAGAAAAGCGAAGCAAGATTCCCAGGAGTCAGGGATGTAGCCGAGAAACAAGTCCAAACCGAATAGGATTAGGTAAGGATTCTCAAAGACCTTGGAACACCATTTCTAACTTGGTCAGAATTTATATTGTAATCTAATGACTTCTTCTAATCTAGGAAATAGAGGTCTGTTTTTGAATCGAGCATGTCATTTTGTTTGTGTTAAAAATACATTTTGATTTGTGCTTTTTACAGATTGTGTATGTTCAGGTGTCAGTTATAACTGAAAAGGGTGTGGGGCTTACTGTTCAAATTGATGAGAGAATTGTATCATTGAGGGCTTTTGTGTTTCAGAGTCATTTTGCAAAATACTAGAATGGGAATTGGCAGAATTTTTACTTTATAATTAAGCAATTTTTGCTTTTCATTTTCCTTTCACTGAATAGCACTAAGTAGCTATTAACCTATATAATTTTTAACCTAAAAATTTTGATTAACCTAATCAAAAGCAGTTTATAGGGTCCACGTTTATTTTAATTGATTTTCTCTAACCAAGTTTGTGAAACTTACAGTCAAAGAGTATGTGTATGTACTTACTTTTGATATAGTGTTGTTCAAACATAAAAACTAGATATAGATAGAAACTAAATATGTAATATTTTTGTGTTTTGATATTGAGTTTTATTGTAATAGTGTGTACAGTTACTCTCAGTAGCTCAAATACCTTTTACCTCTATTAAAATCTAATTCATACACTGCCTTTTAATATAAGAGGTGGAAGTCTTTTATAGCATATTATGAAAAATCTATGTTTATACTCTTTCTTACATTTTTACCTACTTCCTAAGAGTAAAAATCTGTTAATGTGAAATCCAGAGTACTGTAATCTTATTGGCTTTTGTTTCTCATTTATTCACTTATTTCCTCAACACATGTTTCTTGAATTTTTACTGTGATGTGCTATGTACTTTGCTAGACTTTAGGACTGAAGATAAATGGAGTAGATTGAGCTTCTGACTTCAAAGAGCTTGCAGTCTTTGAGGTGAAAATGTATAGAGTGTGACCAATACTATGACTTGGTGCTTTGGAACCCTTCTGCTGGATCCCAGTGAAGTGGAAGTCCTCAGAATCCCATAGTACTTGACATACTGGCTGCACCAAGATGTCTGGCTGAGTTTTTTCTGAGTCACAGTTTTAGTTGAAAGCATAGGAATGTTTTCAGGGCCTTGTCTGCCCCAATCCTCCCAGATTTCCTACTTGGAAGGGCTCCCTAGAATAGATTCTGTTTCAGTGAATCTTATTCTAGTATAAGGTAGAATTAGGCAGGGTGGGACGGTGAGGAGAATATTGCTGTAGGGGAGAGAGAAGCATGTGCACAAGCAATTAGCTAAGAGGGAGCGTAGTGCATTCTGGGTACCACAACTAATTCATTTGGCTACAGTAAAGGAAGTTGATTGGGTTGGGGTGGGAGACGAGGGCAGAAGAGCTGGTTGGATCCAGCTCATGAAAGTGCTTGAAGGCTGCCCAAACCATGAGAAGGCACAGGCAAAATATAAGAAGTAGAATGCATGGGATTTGGTTTGACTAACATTTCCAAAGCAAGTGAGAAGTGTAAGCAAGCAGTGGTTTTGTTAATTCTAAATAATGACAACTTTTTGTTGGCATTAAGTAACCTGTCCCTGAACTGACAAGTTACTTGGATCCAGTAATAAGTCACATGGATGTAACCAGTGAAAATAATGATGCCTAGGATATCTAAATTTCAGATTTGATACTGTAACATATGAGTGTTTGGATCTGGTTATGTTTTGAAAATGGATTTGATTTCAGATCTGGGTGTGAAGTGTACACTGTCCTTTTTCCATAGTTGATTAAGTTCATAGAATGTCTCTTGGCAATCTAGATTTGGTTTCATACTTTTAAATTTTGGGGGAGGGGAATTTTACTTTTTATGTTAATTAAAGATGCCATTTTTACCTTCAGATTGGAAAATAAATCAACTGTAGTTATCCAACATAATTCTAGCACCTGATTTTCCATGGTTCTAACTATGAAGTTTGTGTTGTGGATAGTTGAAAATACCGCACTTAATAAACTTTTAAAAGAGGTGCTATGAAATATCATCCATCAGTGAGAACTAAATAAGAGTTGTTCCCTTCCAAAGACTTCTTAATTTACACTTGATCTTAGCCAAAAGGTCGAGAAGCGATAAAGACTTCTTAATTTGAAACACTATTTTGAAGGAAGTTATTACCTTGATCCTGATTATGGGGATTAGTTATTTATATGTCAAGTTTTGAGGTCATACACATAATTCTGATTAAGGAATTTATCTTAAATTTCTGCGCATTGTGAGAATGTGCACACACACAGAGATATAAAGATATATATATATGAATAAAGTATGTCTTCCCACTTCTGCCTGTGTTAATCATAGAGATTTCATTTTCTAGGGTATCAGATACTAGCATTTTTCAGTAATAGATTGTGTACTCATATTACTGTGATTATTTAGTATATACTGGGCATGTGCCTATTATGTCTAAATATTTGGTTCATTGCACAGCACCTTTGAATATAAATATTCAAAAACAGAGGGATCATCCTGTAAGAATATTTTATATAATTCCCAAACTAATTAATAGTCTTAATTCTAGCTAAACTAGGCTTAGAATTTTCACTGAGAATTTATTTCAGCAACCTTTATTATGTTTGATTCAGTTACAATTTTTTGTTTGAAATATTGTGTTTATTTTTACAACTAATAAAATCACATAAACAGCTAATGTTTATAGCAGTTATATTTTGAAAATTTCCTTTTGTTTTTTTCTTTTTCTGCTCATCTATTGAAAAATGCTAAAAAAAGTTTTGATTTTTTGGAACTTATATTTGTGTTTAAAATATTTTCAGATTCTCTGGCTTAAAATAGTTTGAAGAATTACAAAATTAATCATCAATTTCAGCAGTTAAATTAGACTACTGTGTGGAAGACTAAAACATGATACTACTACCTAGCCTAGAGAGATATTTTATGTGTTTAACTTCTGGCACTTTTCATTATTCTTCTCATACTTCTGTGTAAGTTCTGGTAGGATTCTTTCTTCAAAGCCAAAAGTCAGAATTACCCTTAAAGCACTCTGTCTCTCAAGAAATGAAAACCAATCAAATGCTTTGTCCAGGCATCCCAGCATTTCATGTAAGCACAAGACTCCAGAGCTGCCTACTAATACTGCTTTTAGAAAGTTCGAAGAACAAGTATGTTTTTATCATTTCTTCTTCCTCTGTTATGCCTTCTCCGCCATATTCTCACACAGAATGTTCACTTTTGGCACCCAGTAAAGAGACAAGTTGATTTGTATATTGTTTTTTTTTGGTTTTTTTTTTTCCGTTTTGACCACCTAAGTAATTTATTTTAAATTCTTCTTGTGGGTTAGTCTCTGGAAGTGGTATTTTAAGTGTTTTAAATTAGCCATCATTTGAAATGTGGATATAACCACCAGATGTACTTTAATGAGGTTTGGGGGAACTATATGGGCAGATTTTTATAAGATTGTAAATAATTCTTTTTCCATAGGTTGCTACTAGCCTTATGTTACAAAGAGCCAGTCAGATCTTTTAGCAAATGAACTTTCTCTGGGTGAAATACTAGGAGGCTAAAGCTCATTAAGAATTATGCACAGTGTTATTTCAGATCATATCTATTTATCCCTTTTCATGCTCTTTACTGCCTTCACAAAGCTCAGAGAGAACAGAGATTTCCCATTGCTACAGCATGTACGTCAATTTAAGGAAGGGAGTAGAAGCTGGGTAAAATTTCACAAGTAATTGGGCAAGAACTAGAAGAAAATGCTCAACTAAGCATACATATATGTTAAAAACTATCAGGACTGTTTTTATTACTTTTGATTATTTGTTTTGGAGTAGGCAAGATTTTCATTTATGCCTTTCATTAGGGAACTCAAAACTACTTAGCATATGTACCTTATCTCACAATATCTTCTCTTTTACTTGGTGTGACTTTTTCTTCCTAACCTTAAGGGGAGGCTAAACCAGAGTTAGCATAGCACTACAGAGGTCATTTCATAAAGTAGGTGTGGTATTGATCCTCTAAGGAGTGTTTGTTGCTTTGTAGTTTTGTGCAACTTTTCTGTGTATTGGTGGGTTCAGTAGATAATCTCTAGTTTTTTTAGGGTGTAATTGGCACTTGCTGCTTTTGCCCTCATTGTAGGAGCCATTTAGAATGTTATAAAAAATTGCTGATTAAACAGTCACTGCTACTTTGAATAGAAACTCAGTGCTCTCATGTCACTGTGGCAAAATGAAAGAGAATTTAGGACTCACTGGAGAATTCTGAATGCAGCTCTGGTTTTGACTGTTTCTTAGATTGCATTTCTGTGCTTGATCTTTCCTTGCTTGCCAGTGCCGACCAGACCATTGGACACCACTGACATATCTTTAGGGTCTAATTCAACTCTAGCCCTGAGAAAGACCATAGTTGGAAGTTTGTTAGTTTTTTGCTTTTGTATTCTTTGTTATCGGAGGGTTTCATGATCCTGATTTGTAAGATATTCTTGTTATGGTTTGGCCATACAATAAATATACTTTTGCTCTAAAATAATAGGCCATGCTCACTGATTCATTGATGGGAAAACAGCCCTGTCTTTATATCAGTGAATCAAGTTTTTTTCCACATTTTTTAAAGAAGGCATTTCTATCCAGTCCAGAATTAATGAATCTTCTCAAGATGGAAATAGGTATTGTCCCCATCACCTATTATATTTATTGGTGGGTACGTACATCAGTATGCCAAGTTGTTTCCCAGTATTTTGCCAGTACTATGTTTCTGTTTTCTCAAATTGAGTTGAAAAACAAGAACATCACAGTCTTTTTCTCAGCTTTTATAGCCAAGTTCTATTAGAGCTTAGGCTATTAATATGAACGTGTTTTCAGTATTTTGTAATGTAAGTGTAATAAAATTTACCCATAGATAATCATAATTGGCCATTTTCAGGTCAGTGGGGGGATTATTGGTGCAATAATACTCTACATACTGTTGGACTGGTGCAAGGCAGATAAGTGAAAGCGCTTGAGGAGGGACCACAGGCAGATTTTCAGATTGCCATGGAAAAAGCAGGAATAACTGTTGTCCCAACTCTTTATATCTGTTGGTTTAGATCATGAAATATTGTTGAAGCATCTATATACACTTACTCAGTGTGCATGTTCTCTAGCTGTGCCAGTTCTTATGTCTTCTCTTTTTAAAGAGGGCCAGCTGAGATTTGAGCTCTCTTTTAGTTAGGTAAGTTCATGAGTTTCAGTAACCAGAATGTTTATTCTATTTTTTAATCCAAATTAAATTATCTTTCTAAGAACCCACTGCATGTGAAAGTGGCTTTGGTCCTTTATCCCTTGTGGAGAAGTTTGCTAAAGCCGTAAAAAAGGATCATTTCTAAAAGGCTTTTGAGCTTTTATTTTCTGATGCCAGTTTGCTCTTTGGAAGCTTTCTTTTCATTTTGTACATTTTGGTGTTATTTCACCTTCATACCACAATTTACAGCTTTCTGAGGCATTGAGCATAGTTGAGTTTTTATCCAGACCTTCTCCTGTTGACATGTCAGTGAGACCATAAGCAGGAATAGGTGCACAGTTGCAGACAATGTCATGATTACGTTAATGGAATGTGACTGACATTTTGTAAGTTTTTCTGTCTTCATTAAACTTGTTCACCTTCTCTGAAACCCCTCATGCTGCACACTAGCACGGAGCAGCCGTATCCCTCGACCCAGCATGAGTCAGGGGTGCAGCCGCGATACCAGCCGTGAGAGCAGCCGAGATACAAGCCCTGCTCGGGGCTTCCCTCCACTGGGTGAGTACATGTAGGCACTGGCTCTCGGAGCAGAGTCCTTTCCCTGCTCCAAGTGCTTGTCCCAGACACTGCTAGGTGGAATGACCTGCTTTCCCTCTATTGTCATTGTGATCCTTTCTTCTTTTTTTCCTCTTCATTAGTTACCCTTTGCTGTCCCCCTCTGCATGCTTGAATTTTGGCTATTTCCAGTTTTTATATATCAGAGGAAAAAAGCATCACTTCACTCTGTGCTGTTGTCATTTACTCTCACTTGCTACCAGGCAAGCCCATCTATGTAGTAATTTCTAAATACAGTGATGCTCAGCCCAAGTTAATTGCTGCTTAATGGTAGAGCTAACGCAGCGTTTATCCTTACTCATTGAATCTCTACAATTTGTGTTTAATTTTACTAGAGGTTAGGCCATGTGTGATTCAATTCAACAAAGGAAGAAAAATAAAATCATGATAATTATTTAGGCCATTAAATGTGCTTAGTTTTAGGGTGGTGATATTAGTTTAAAAACCAGCTTGAATGATTAGCGATGCTTATGTTAACTGAGTCATTTCAAAGCTTTCTTTAAAGCAATCTAAAAATAGCTCTTTGATAATTTGCTTAGGTATATAATACCATGCCAAACTTTATGATGTTTATTGTTAGATATTTTCATTGATCCTGATCTCAATAGGCTATTTAATGTGTGTGACCTCATGCCATCCCAGGACAAAAAAATCACAATATTTGGTTGCCATAAGGTGGTGTAAGTACTCTACCTCAGATCACCAGCCAGATGCCAATTGGGGCTGCTCATTCCTTGCCACTCCTTCAGCTTTTCTTATATCCAGAATTTGTATTTTAACAGTTTCTAGGATTTAGGAACACAAGACAAAAAGAGAAACATGTGTCCATTATAGAATATTTTATTTACCTTTTTTGTTTAGCTTTAATAGTTCTGCCTCTCTCTAATACAGGTAAATTATTTTTTTACATAGTACAAACTGTTAATCCCCAAAGACATCTGTCAACACATAGTTTTACATAAAAGAAGTATTTTGTGCCCTGGCTGGTATAGCTCAGTGGAGTGGGCACTAGCCTGCCAACCAAGGGGTCGCCAGTTTGATTCTCAGGGCACATACCTGGGTTTCAGGCTGTATTCCCAGTAGGGGGAGTGTGAGAGGCAACCACACATTGATGTTTCTCTCCTTCTCTTAATCCCTCCCTCTCTAAAAATAAATAAATAAAGTCTTTAAAAAATATTTTGTATCTTCAGTAATTGTCATAGGTCTTTGGCAGATAAACTTCTGTATAACTGTATATTTTTCTCTGATAAGTAAGCATAGCAGGTAAAAATCGTTTTACAACAATTAGGCCTAGTCCTGAAGTTGTGTGGAACTGTAGAAGGCAGCAGTCTGTAATTTGCACTTTGGTTATATAACCGGTCTTTCAAATAGAAAAATGCCTAAACCATCAGATCTTAGTAGTTGTTTCTGTTGTCTTCTGATGAGTCATTTACTTCTTCCCAATATCTTTTTTTCCAATCAGTATCAATAATCAAAGTTGAGATACACTTTTTTATGACCCGTTTTCTTTTCTGAAGTTCTGAGGAAAGAGCAGGTAACAGATGAAAAAGCCCTGCTAGATGACTTACTTGACTTAGTGAGAAGATGCTTTTGTATGGAATTCTGCTTGATTAGTACAAGAACCTAAGTTGGGCAGTTTACGTGGTACATAGTTTATAGCTCTTTCACAGCAGTCTGAAGCATTAGGTCAGAATTCTCAACAAACAAGTGTGGCAATGATGATTTTTTTCTTTCTGAACAAACTGGCGATTTTTCCTTTTAAGTTAAGACTCTATTTCTATGCATATTGCTCACTATTTGACCTTCCAGAAAACCTGTTACATAAGAGAACAGTTGAGTCTGTTTATTGGCCACTTTGTCTGTTAGAGGCAATTCAGTCTTTATTTATACATGTCTTGGAATGTTACTGTCCATAGAAGCAACAGCCTTTGTAATTCAGTTTGTGGTTTGTGAATGAGGCAACCTGTGCTGCACTTTTGAGGTGCCAGTTGAACCCAGAGGAGTTGAGTGATTTAGTCTTTTACTCACTTTCTTCGGTGAAGCAGTTCTGCTCTGTCTTGGTGACAACCCAGAAAGCTGAAATGCATAATTGCTTCCACCAAGGCAGAAGATGTGGATGCGGCTAATTCCCCTTCCTAATGAACTCCAGCATCAGCACTTGTGTTTTGTTGTGGTCAGGGCAATAGTAACATCTTTTCCACTGAATTTTGATAACATGCCTTTTTTCTCCCTCCATAAGTTAAATGTGTTTGTGGAACTTTTGTTCTCCTTGTACCTGGCACCATTCTCAGCAATTGGTAGCCATAATCCCTTGTCCCGCTGGGACAGGTATTTTCCCTCTGCCTCATTTGAAAACAGTTTTGATAGTTTAGTGTCCTTCATTTGTTCCTCTGAAATGTATTAAGTGCTTTTTGCGAGGCCTCTCCAGGCCTAGGCAGATAGAAAGTGCTCAGTGAAATTGTGATTTACAGGCTTGGGGTTAGGGCCTGGGAATTCATTGATGAGTCCCAGAGGGTTGTTGTTCCCAGGGGAGAATGTACTACACCCTTCAAAAAATGTGAAACTTTCTTTTTTTTCTAATTCACTTGAATAATCATTCCCCACCCCCTTTATAAAGTAGTGAATGTGTGTGTTAGGGCCCTTTTGTATCAGTTCATATGAGCAGCCTTCACTTTAAAAAAGGGGGGCAGGGGTGAAAGTAATTATGTTTCATATATTGGCTTTAAGTTTGTGTTTTTATCACAACATTGTTTTGGGCCATTTTAATAGTGTGAATATATATTTTTATGGTTACAGTTATAGGTTTTAAATGAAATTCAGGGCCCTAGGACTTGTACATAAGGCTTTGATGTAAATGAGTTCACCTTCAATTTCATTGTTAGGTATTTACTGAGAATGTAACAAAGGACTCATTACATGACAGACAGATGTACTATAGAATATTTGGTTGAAATAGAACAAAAGGAAACTTTATAATAAACCTTTAAATCATGTATCCTTAAAAGCTATTTTTGGTTTAAACCATCAAGCAATACTAATGTGCTTGTATAATAAAATGACTATTTTGTTTCAGTCTTGCAAAATATTTAGTTGACTTCCTTATTTTATAGTATCTGTTTTAGAGATTGCTGATTTATTTTTGTGCTCTTGAGGAATTAAGAATTTAAAAATTTTCTTTTTGCAAGCGGGTAAAAATCTGTCCTTAATGACCAAGTAGACTTTGCTATTTAATACCACACATACCACAAATATGTGCATTCCATAAAGTGATATATCTTAAAGATATTATATTGAAGAGGTTTTGATATTTTATGACTGTGAACGTTAACGTGTACAGGATACTATAATGTAACAGCGGGTGTGAAAGTAGCACTGCTTATTATATTTTGTTAAACCTATGAATTTTCTGTGGTGCAGTCATCATGTTCTTTTCAGATTAATGAATAAAAGCATATTATCTTGTTGTTTTTTTCCTGAGGTAAAGAAAAGCCATATATTATGTGGCACTCTGGTCAATAAACTTAGGTTTTGAATCAAGTCTTTATTACATAATTATTTCTAAAATTATTCCCTCCACAGTTTTAGCATATATTTCCTTAGATTGATGAGTTAGTATGCTTATTATGAGTACTGTATTTAATGTTTAAATGTAATAAAACAATATTTAATGTTTAAATGTAAGTTGGAATTTACTCTTACCTGTTACTACCACCACCGGCATCACTACTGTGACTGTTGACCACTGTTTATTCTGTTCCTGGCATTATGTTTTTGCTTTATGTATGATCTCTTTTCATTCTCTTAGCTCCCTAGAGGTAGGTACCATTATTAGCACCATTTTACGGATGAGGAAACTGAGACACAGAATTACTTTGCTCAAGGTTTTACAGCTTGTTGTGATCAAACCAGAATTTGCCCCCAGTTGTATTGAAGAGCCAGTGTTCATAATCATAGTGCTGCAAAAGCCTCTCCCAGGAAGGCCATTAAACTGAATACTACATTTTCAACAATGAAAATATAAATTTTGCCCTGGCTGGGGAGCTGGGTTGGTTAGAACATTATCCTGACATACCAATGTTACTGGTTCAATCCCCGGTCAGGGCACATATAAGAATCAACCAGTGAATGCATAAATAAGTGGAACAACAAAAATCGATGTCTGTCTCTGTCTGTCTGTCTTTCTCTTTCTCCCTCCCTCCCCTCCCTTTCTTCCTCTCTGTCCCTCCCTCTTTCTCTTCCTCTCACCCCCTCCCTCCCCTACCTCTGATACCAATAAATTTTTAAAAATTTAAGTAAATTCATGAATTAGGATATTTATGCAACAGAACAACAAATATTTTGACTGAGGAAAACAGAATTCCAGTTGCTAAGCCCTCTTTTTGCGATTTCATTCTGTTTTTCTACAAATAACATTATGAACTTCTATGCTTTTGTTTTTGGTGTGTGGTTGCTTATGCATCACATCTGATGAGACATCTTGTGGGCTGAGATCATCCATTTCTACTGCTGTTCTACTCTGGGATTTGGATGGTGCTCTGTGGCTCCTGATGTTCTTCATGTTACATATTTTCATAATGGCTGATAGAGGCTTCATCTTGTGAATACCAACTGGAGTCTGAATTAGTTGATGCATCAAGACCACTTGAAAGAGTAACTTTGTGCCTGTGTGTTCAGTAGCTGTGTGAGAGCCAGCAGGCTGCCATGGAATTTGAGGATTGGCACTTGCTATCCATTCATATCTAGCACCATTTCTTTTCATGAGGAAACATGCCCTGTTGGTAGAAGTCCCTGCATTTCCTTTGGACTGTGGCATTTTCTGTCTTGGGTACTTCTGTGTTAATCCTGTGGGTGTTGCCATTCCTTTTACCTGCAGCCTCTCGACGTCATTCCAGGTCCACTAGTGCTCTCTCCACTGCTGAATCTGTTGGGCAGTCAGGTGAACAAGTGCTAACTGCATGCCTTGGCTTCTTCATTATGTTCTAGTTGCATACTCATTTTAACATTCGCTTTCATCATTGTTGGCTAGCATTCGGCATGTATGCACCTCATATTCTCCCCAACGTGCTTTTATTTTTTTAAGTTGTTGAATGTTTATGATTCTGTTAATAGGCTGCCGATGCCTTGTAGCCTGTTTGACATTATTTCTCCAGTGTTTGTATTTATGTTAAAACAAAACATAGCAAAAAAAAAAAGAGATGGGGAAGGAACTTTCCCCCCTTTTGCTCCCTGCCCCAGGAAAACAATCCAAACTTTAGGTATCAGAAGGACCCCTATAAGGAATAGGGTATGAATATCATCCAACAGTATCTTTCATCTCCAAAGTCTTTGCTCTCAATAAAGTGGTGATTATTAATGTTAGGTATTAGTGTCAGATTCTAATTATTTGCAGGCACTATTTAGTTATCAAATTATGTCACATGTAATTTTATATGTATAAAAATAAATGGATTGTGGAATATGATTCAGATACTGTAGTCAGGCTAGCGGTAGCTTTTACAGCCTTTGGACCCCAAGCTTTCCATCTCCGCCCTGCTCTGGCAATACCAACATTTCACTGGTCAGCCATTGGGGCAAAAGTAAGCATACAATGATATATAAGTTTGCCAGATTTAACTGACATCATTTTGTTATGGTAACAATCCCTAATGACTCCAGTATTGAGTAAAGCACAGTCTACTAAATCACAGGTAAAAACTGTGACCAATTCACTGAGTTAGAGATTTTCTGCATTCTTCCTCTAAATGAAGTCAGCTATGCATTTTTTAAGTATGTGCTCTGATTAGCACATTTCCCTGAAGGTCATGGGCCAGACTAAGGGTACAGTAATATGCATCCATCTCTTGGGAAATGGAGCTTCATAATAGTATCTGAGCAGTGAGAATGTAGGACAGATTTTGCTGTGGTTAAAATAAAAGAATTATAACTTTGCTTAGACCTAGGCAAATATTTCTCCTTCAGATTATCTGTGATACATAGAGAATAATCTGCAGTCAGTTTATGAAAAAGCTGTATACATCTGGGAAGCACAGAATTATTGCATTGTTTTTAGAGTTTTAATTTTGTATCTGAAAAAATTAGTATTATCCCTAGAGCAAGAGTTGGTGGCATGAGATATATATTTTTTTAAAATTTTTTACAGACTTTTAAGTTCATGCTGGGTAATTTTTAAATGGTTTTTAGAGCAAGAGTTGGTGGCATGAGATCTAATTTTTAAAAAGTTTTTTACAGACTTTTAAGTTCATGCTGGGTAATTTTTAAATGGTTTTTAACTGAATTACTTTCATTCTGTTTCTCATAAAACCCTTATTATCTACCCTTTTTTAATGGAAAGAAAAGATGAACAAAGATCATTTATGAAACAAATGTGCACAGTCTCAAATTTATACTTTCCATATTTTAACTGATAATTTACAGACATATAGATATAACTTCTGTGGTTTCTCTTTAGTTTGTATGGCACATTAAATTGCCTTAAATGGCTAAGATGATACACATTGTGATCAGTAAGTACATTAAAAAAGGGGATAGTATAATATAAAATTTTTGTTTCTTTATAAAATTCATGACTGTATAACTTTCTTTAGCAGTGTTTACATTATTTTCCTTTCCATGGCAATGGAAGATGCAATGTTTTGAAACTGACTTTTTTTAGGAAGCTAAATGACACTTCAGTTTTGAAATTCACCAGTTTTGTAGGTGATGTTTTGTTACACATCTAAAATCTTCTATATATCATTTTATAGGAAAGACTAATTCATGTAAAACAGATACTAGTTTTCCTTTTATTCTAAATGCTTCATGTGGCTAACAGCAGAGATTTTCCTTGTCCAATGTCTTACTTGTTAATACAAAGTATTTTTTACCTTAACACTTTTCCAAAGGTTTTTTTATATCTTAGCATTTTAAATAAGAAGCTTTTACCAGCAGATAGTATGATATACTTGTGAAGTATAATTTACACTGACTTTCTCCTATTATAGTTCAAGTCTCAGTACTTCTTAAGGAAGGCTAGTCAACTGATTTAAAGGGACTTTTAAAAGTTAGTTTGTCATTATCCATGATCATTGGCAACCTTATAATAGTTGTTTGAACTGTAAAATTTGTTTTAAATCCTTTGGATTATATCCATTTTTTCTACATGTATAAACACTATCACTTAAAGATTCTTGAGGGACTCAGGAAAAATGTATACAATGTCATCTGCATTATTAATATTTTGCAGTTAAGATACTAGCTTTTTGTGGTGATTATTAAATAGTTTTAATAAATTGAGTTTTAAATGACCTTTGGCAACACAGGAATTAAGATGAACATATGTCTAAAATTAATTGAACTTAATAATAGTTAATCAGAAGTGACACTAATGAAAATTTTCACAGAAATCAATTTAATACATTTGTTTCAAAATTTAACTTTATTGCATATTGCATTAGAACTCATTGCTAAACCTCTAAGCTTTCTAATTAGTTTCACCACTTTCCTTTAGAGTAGTGATTTCAAACCTTTTTATCTCATGGCATACATAAACTAATTACCAAAATTGTGCAGCACACCAAAATATATATTTTTTGCAGATCTGACAAGAAAAAAATAGGTGTAATTTTGATTCATTCACACCAAACAGTTATTGTCATGTTGGCAGTTTGTTTGTTTGTTTGTTTGTTTGTTTAATTTGACAGTCTAAGGGAAAAGGAGGTCAGTACTCCTGACTGAATAGTCAGGTATTACACATTTTAAAAATTCTTGCAGCACACCAATGTGCCTCTTGTAGCATACTGGTGAAAGTCACTGCTCTAGAGGGAGTGCTAAATAGATTTAAAGACTCAACTCCTAGCTCACTCAACTCCTTTCTATAAGTTACTCTCTCTCCCATGTCTCAACACTTTTCAGAGATAAAAATATTGTTAAGGAATCATTTCAATTGTCAGGTTGTTTCGTGGCACAATGGTATTAAGTGTAGACAACCTATTCTTTGCCACTGGTAAGCAAGAGTAGTTAAAACTACAAGTCAAATGTAGTTAAAATTGGCTAGAAATTTTTCAGTGCCTCTGTTTGTAGGTGGGAAGAGATGGGAACCCTTGCAAAACAGTGAGAAAATGTGAATTAAAGTGACATATATTTTGCTTTTGTTTTTTAAATAGACCGGTTTGGGCTTGGCCAGTCAGGAAGAATACCTGGTTCTGTGAATGCCATGCGTGTTTTAAGCACAAGTACAGACCTGGAAGCTGCTGTTGCTGATGCTTTGGTAAGAGTCACAGTATGAGTAGAGTCTCTTTGAGTTACTCATCCTCATTGTTTTCTGTCTTAACAGAAAATTGCCTCCAAATCAGGTTACTAAATCATCTTTGAAGTTTTTTTTTTTTTTTAAGATTTTATTTATTTATCTTTAGAGGGGAAGGGAAGTAGAGAGGGAGAGAAATATCAATGTATGGTTGCCTCTCATGCATCCTCCGTGATCCTTTGGTTCGCAGGCCCACGCTCAATCCACTGAGCTACACTAGCCAGGACAGTATCAAGGAAGTTTTGATGACATTAAGTTGGGTGTTTCTTTTTTTTTTTTTTTTTTTCACATTCTGTTTTTTCTATTGCTTTATAAGCTTTGATGGCATAACCTAAACAAATCATTATAATAGGTATTAGACTTTGTGGTTTGAAAATTTGTGTTTATTCCATTACCTCACTAGTTTTACATGTTTTGGTTTTTTTAATGAGTTTGTAAATCATTATTTAAGGAAACTTTTCCCAAATCTAAGATTAACTCCTTGAGGATATGAAGCACTGGTGGAATGATTTTGCATCATTATAATGTAACATCTAAAAATATATATAAAGTGATTAGAGGTCCTTACTTTATGGTTATACCAAAGAATTCTTTAGTTGAATTTGCTTGTGGTCAAATTGCATTTTAAAGATACATTTCAGCTCATAGGAGCACAGCCTCTTGCATATTTTGATTTGTCTGCTCATCATTTTAATTTGGTATTCTTTATGACCACTATCTAGCTGTGCTTGTGTTGTTTGAAGATTTCTTCTCTTCTGAGGAAATAGCCTACTTTCAGACCCTGAAGTTTGAAATTCAGCCATGTTGCGTGTGATCAAAATTCACATCTGTGGCTACAGTGATTCTGACTTTTGCTTTTTCCTGTCTCTCCCTTGTTTATTCTTGCTCAGTCAGATTCTTTGATAAGTGGCAGTGAGCAAGCAGTTTCCTCTTTCATGAGGCTTCCCCTGTAAGCAAGGGCTGCCTGGACAGCTCTGTTCATTAGCCTTACGTGTAGGAAAGCCTTTGTTCTGGCGGATACAGGAGTTGAGGATGATTGCTCTAGCCATGGCTTTAACTTCAGAGTCACGAGCTGGAACAGAATTCTGTGAAGCTCTTTTTCCTTCTACCTTGCAGGTTTAGATCCTGTCTCATATTTATTCAGAGACTGCAGGAGGTGGAAGTTGGAGGGTTGGGAAATGATGGATGGGCTAATCCTTAGTTAAATGGGACTTCCTTAACTGGTTAAGGCTCAGGTGGGGGAGAGGAAATTCTATAAAGAACTGCAAAAGGGACTGTCTGCTCTGCTAGGAGGCAGAGTAGGTCTTGAGAGTCTGAACCTTGGCTTTACTTGACTTGGGTTTTTCTCTGAGTTCTAGCTCCACTTACATTCATGTTCCCCTTATTATTTTTTGTTTAAATTGTTTGGTTTCTCTGGTTGCAGAAGAGGGAGTGCAAAATGGTACCGTTCTGAGACAGAATGTATCATAGTGAAAAACCACAGAATTAATGGTGACTTTAGAGCTTGTCCCTCAGTGGTTATGGGGAGAGTTTTACATAGAATTATAGCAAGAACTGGAAGTTCTTATAAGTATAGGAGGGTGAGGAAATGCCATTGCGAAAGCATTCTTTGTTGTTATTCACTTGATAATGAATTGCTTGCTAACCATGTATTTTTTGGTTTGCTACAATATGTTTTGCTATACACTTTTGTTGCAAGAACAATCCCCTCATATGCTTCTGACATAATTCTCTATGCTTTTTCCCCATCCTTCAATATTTCCCTGCCTACAGCTATTAGGAGACTCCAGGAGCAAGGTACCAGTGCTTTAACTTTTGTTTTACAACTTTTTGTTGTTGTTGTTGCAAGTATATTTCCTTTAGGAGCTAGCGAAAACAACAAAAAACTGTAGTACAGTTATAAAAATTCTGGTCTGAATTATGATGTTGAATCTGGTGGAGTTTTTATTAGTGATGGAGTCAGGCACCTCTCATTTGTTTTAGTATTTTTGAATATCAAGCTGTGCGCCTTCTCCCTGTAGTGTTTTGTTTTATTTATTAACCCCATTTCTGTCTATTCTCATGTTATTATTTCATGACTGGATATATATTCAACATTTTTCTTATTCTAGGAACCTAGTTTATGTATAAGTAAAGTGATCATACTTTGGAGAGTGCAGAGGGGGTGCTATTAATAACCACACTGAGATAGTAAATGTAATGCAGAACTGTTGTGATCAATTTGGGATGTAAGTAAAAGCCACATTAATTAGAAAATTATATTTCTACAGCTTCAGCCAATAACAAATAGTTATGGCTTAAGCTATATTATTTATGGGTTTAAGTTATATTCAGGGTAAGAGAAACTGTAGTCTACAGGAAGCGTATTTGTGTTGTAAAACTTTAAGTTCTCAATAAAAGTGGCTAAGATAATTTAGGAATCCTTATACATGAGATAAATATTTTGCTACTGACGTTTTCAGTTTCAGACTTTCAGAAGTGTGAACATTCAAATAAATTTACTCATAGAACATGCTCAAGATATATTACTTTTGCTTGGGAAGGGGCTGTGGGTGCACACACTTGCACTGTGTCAGGTGCTGAACCAGGTTATTTAACCTTCACAACAAGCCAATGCAGGGTGTTACTATTATCTCAGAGATGGGGAAACAAAGTAGAAAAGTCAGGAGGCTTTCTCAGGTGACACAGCCAGTCAGTGGTGGCAGCAGGATTACAACCCAAGTCTGTCTTACTGAAGTCTACACAGTGTGCTAGAGAACATATTCTTTTCTCTCTGCTACAGGTTGCTCTGCTTATTACTTACTGTATCTACCGGAAGTCTGTGTTTCTGTTTTTATTCCCTAATCTGTAAACACAGGGCAGATGTGCATCCGCATATTGTGTGTGTGTATCTTTTTACATTTAACTCTCTGTTTTTGTTGGTTTTGTTTGGTATGACTCATGGTCATTTCATCTTTCCATTTCTTCCACAATCACCCCCATCCCTCATTGGATCTGGCAGAAGAAACCTGTGAGGAGGAGATATGAGCCTTATGGGATGTATTCTGATGATGATGCCAATAGTGATGCCTCAAGTGTTTGCTCTGAGCGCTCGTATGGTTCCAGGAACGGTGGCATTCCCCATTATCTACGGCAGACTGAGGATGTAGCAGAAGTTCTCAACCACTGTGCTAGTTCAAATTGGTCAGAAAGGAAAGAAGGGCTTCTAGGCCTGCAGAACTTACTGAAGAGCCAGAGAACACTGAGGTAAGGATAAAGACCGAGGTTGTGAGCTAAGTTTGAGACCCATGCTATACTTATGGCAGGGGTTGGGGGAGCAGGGCAGGGTGAGTGGATTCCCTGTTGATTATGGAGTCCTTACAGAGTTTTAGCACTAAAGGTGCTAAGATGACTAAGACCTAGTCTTTGTCTTCCAAAGACTTTGAAATAGCTGGCAAATACTCTGTAATCTATTAGATTTATAACAGCATTTGGTTTTCTTACAGTTCACATTTGTCTAGTGGCTGCTATTTGAGAAATCTTGGTATAGGTTGCAATTTAGGTGAAAAATAAAACTCTAGAAACTGTCACTCTTAGTTGATGGGAAAATAAAATAAAACTGCAGGTCGGTACAGTTCATTACACTTTAGGGTGTGGATAAGATGATAGCAGGCTTAATCTAAAATTTGTAATACACATATGCATGGTTAAGAGATACTAAAATGGAGTACTAATAATAACAGTATTACCCCTAGTATTGATTATTTTTTCATTTTTTCTATGTAGTCCTGTATTTCATAAATTTTCTAACACAAGCTTATACTATATACATACCAGAAAGTATGTCTTTATACTATATTTCGTCAAATCTAAGGCACCATTGGTACATCATTATTTTATATCCCTCTAAGAAGAAATGCCGCTTATTAAACTTGACATTACTAATATATCATTGATTATAAGATAACTCAATTACAGAGATGTTAAAATGTTATAAAGTAGGCAACTAAAATCCATGACTTACAGTATATTATATCCTTCAGATAATTTTTTAAAGATGAGTTATGACACCACTAAGTTCCAGATTAGCAGCTTCCAACCTTTTTGGCACCAGGTTCTGGTTTTATGGAAGACAAATTTCCCACAGTCCCTGGGAGTTGGTGTGGGGGTGGGGGTGTGTGTTTTAGGGTGATTCAAGGGAACTACATTCAGGCTCACCTCCTGCAGTGCTGCCTGGTTCCTAACAGGCTCAGTCTGTGGCCTAGAGGTTGGGGACCCCTGTTCTAGATGGGCTCTATAAAGAAGCTAAGTGAGCACTGACAGATGGTCACTAAGCAGTGTGGCTAGCAAGTCAGTCTCGCTCTATTCTACTGATTCCTACTTCCTGATTCCACCTCCCTAGCCCAATCCCATTCCATTCATGAAGATGTTTTGAGAAGTTTTGTGAAATGTAGGTAGCTTCTAATTTGTAGTGAGTGTTCTAAAATCAAAATGAATATGGTTTGTCCGTGATTATTTCTTCAAGATCAGAATTTTGAGAATCTGTTTCATTCTGGTGGTCCCAGTTTCTTGAATCCTAGAGTTTACCAAGTACCCTTTGAATAACCTCTAGAAATCTATTGGTCTAATCTAGATTGTATCATGTGTATGAGGGAGAATTACTCAGGCATGATTTAGGGAGAGATGGCACTTTAATCAAGCCTTGAAGTGAAAGTGAGACTCACTAGTACAGTTAAGAAGAAGAAAAGGCAAAGGAGCCCTAAAGTGAAATGAGTGTTTGCTTTGTCTGAGGCACAGTTGTAGGTAGGATGTGTTATCTTCTTTAATCCTGACAGCAGCCAGGTAGCCCTTACTGTTTGTGACTGATACAGATGTAAAAACATCAGAGTACTTTCTCTGAAGCAGAACTGAGATTAAAGTCTGTCTGATCCCTAAATACATGCTTCTTCTTGTTTATCTCAAGGCATTGCCACTTCCACACACATGGACTTAGGCACTCTCTAAGATTTACTTTCCTCATTTTAAGTAAGAGCAAAACTATTACAATTTTATATTTCTGTTTAATTTAAGTGTTAGTTAAATAATAGAAAGTTCTTTGTGTGAAAAAACCTTGTTATATAAAAATTATATAAAGCTTATGTAGTTAATTGAAATAAAAGGATTTTTAAAAGTAAAGTTGTATCTAATTTCAGTGTTGACTTACTAAAATACATTTATTTTCTTTTTTTTCTTTAGTCGGGTAGAATTGAAAAGATTGTGTGAAATCTTCACACGAATGTTTGCTGACCCACATAGCAAGGTAACGCTGGGAACAGTGCATTATTTACATTCCTCTCTGCATGTCTGTGTGAGCTCTGTAATATACTATGAAAGAATGAGAGATAATTCCCTATAGTGCACTTCAAACCTCACAGGTTTAATACTAATTTCAGCAGTAGTTTATGTTACATCTTTTAAAAATGGAATTCTCGGGAACTTCAAATGTCTATGAAACTTTAATTTATAAATTGCATTTCAGGTAAGAGTTACCATGGGTGAGAATCAGTTGTCTTTCAGCAAACATCTTTGGGTCGCTTCTATTAACCAAACAGTAGGCTATGTGTCAGAATGTAATATTGTATTATAATATAGTGCCTTTTAAAGAAAAGTTACAGTAGTGAAGAAAATAATCACGTATACAATTTTTTTTTTGCATCTCAGGTAGAATTCTTCTATGTAAAACTAGGTAGAAAAATAGAAGCATCTATGAAATAGATTTATTAGACAACCAGGTTAAGTTATTTCTCCAAATAGAATTTTGCCAGCCCCAAGACTTAGCTCTTGCTTCCACCTCCTGGGGGTCCAGGAGGGGTACTGAGCCTTAAGGACTTCCTTTCTGACAAGGGCATCCCTGCTAAAGGAGAATACCCATGAAGAATGGATAGGGCTCTTTCTTGAGTGGTGCTGAGAGAGGGACCTTTTATAGAAGTTTACTTGGAGTCTAGGTTTTAACTGATTAGGATTGTTTGGGAGAAAGCCTTTAGAGGCTATTAGATGCTTTTAGAGAAAGAAAACAGATGACATTAGGAAAGTTAAAGGGTGAATAAAGGACAGAAACTAAAGCACAAAAATTGAGAAAACCTAGTCACCATTAGCAAATCTTAGCTGCTTGACATGCAGGATTTAACTATCGTACACTTTAGTTTTCCTAGTAAAAATATCTGTTGTAAATTTTTCTGGAACAGTGAAACCCGTGATGGCCACAAAGTCCAGCCTGTTTTGGTGATGTCCATTCTTTTCCTAGCCTTTCTTCCTCATAGGAACTGTCCTTTAAGTGTCAAACATCTGTCTGTCCAATCATCCAGCCTTCATTGAGTACCTGTTCTGGTGAGGGATCCAGAAATCAACATATGACTCCTGCCTTTTGAGATGCTCACAGGAGGCACAGGAGAAAGGATGCAGGGGTTCTCCCCCTTTTTTGGACAGGGCTTCTCCTCAAATCAGTCTTGAAGTACGTCTTAAAATTCCCATTGTGACCCCAACCCTCACAGCAAGATTAACATTAACAATATTAATAAGATCCAAGAAATGTTGAGTTTAAGGGCCAAAAAGATAACCAAAGATAATAATTATCAAGATTTTTCTCTAAGATAGTGATAAAAGCACTAAGATTTTAAATCATAAGCATAAGATTTACAGTATTCATAGTGTAAAGGATTTAGATGGTTTTGGACATTGATGAAATTTCTGTTACCTGTCATCTCTAGATTGCTGATTCAGAACCAGAATGTGAGGATAAAGAAGGAAATTTCTTTCCATCAGAAGGCTGTTGTACAGTGAGTTTGGAGGTCTCAGTTTAGTCATTATTTACTAGCTACCTTTGGCTCATTGACTTTTTTCTGAGCTATCTGACAGGTGACCCCTGGTGGTTTATAGTTATTGTGCTACTTGGTTATATGGTGGCTGGTTGTCCCAGTAGAGCAGTACTCATTAACTAAGTAGATGAGGCATGGTGCTACCTACTTCTCTGAAATTGGTTCAGGGATATTCCACCATGATTGTCTCATCTTAAGACAGCAGTAATGAGAACACTGCAGCATGATAATTTGTGAGCTGTCAGTACCTTTTTTTCTAAGCCATAATCTTTTATAAAGCTTTTTATGGCTTTTGCAGTATCTTTTTACATGAAGATGTTACTTGAAATATTTGTCTAAATTGGCATGCATTAAAATAGATTACTAGAATGGAAAGAAAAATATACACACGTCTTTTTCCCTCATCCTGTAAAAGTATTTTTATAGGTATCACATAATAATCTTTATTTTAAAACTTTTTAAAAACTACACTTGACATACGATATTAGTTTTAGTTATATAGTATAGTGATTAGATACTTATATAATTTACAAAATGATCACCCCAGTAAGTCTAGTACCCACCTGATACTATGTATAGTTATTACAATATTACTGACTACATTCTCTATGATGTACTTTACATCCTACAGCTGTTTCTGTAACTGGCAATTTGTGTATTTTAATTCCTTTGTCTTTTTTACCCATTCCCCCAACTGTCTTCTATCTGGCAACCAACTTATTTGTTCTCTGTTACCGATGAATTTGTTTCTGTTTTGTTTGTGGGTTTATTTTCAGAGTCCACATGTCATTAGAAAGATAAAGTATTTGTCTTCCTCTGACTGACTTATTTAGCACAGTACCTTCTAGGCCCGTCCATGCTGTCACAAATGGCAAGATTTCATTCTTTTTATGGCTGAGTCATATTCCATCGTATATATGTACCACCTCTTCTTTATCTATTTGTCTCTATCTATGGGGACTTATGTTGCCTCCATATCTTGGCTATTGTAAATAATGCTGCAATGAGCATAGGGGTGCATATGTCTTCTTGGATCAGTGTTTTGGATTTCTTTGGTTAAATACCCAGAAGTGAAATTGCTGAGACATAATGGTAGTTCTATTTTTAATTTTTTGAAGAACCTCCATTGTGACTGTACCAATCTGCAGTTCTACTAACAGGGCATGAGGCTTCTATTTTCTCCACATCCTCACCAGAACTTGTTATGTGTTGATTTATTGATGATAAGCATTCTGATAGGTGTGGGGTGATGCCTCATTGTGGTTTTAATTTGTATTTCTCTGTTATTAATGACATCAAACTTTTCATACATCTATTTGACATCTGTATGTTCTCTTTGGAGAAATGTCTAATCACCTTTGCCCATTTTTAATCAGATTGTTTATTTCTTTGATGTTATGTTGTATGATTATTTATTTATTTATTTATTTATTTATTTATTTATTTATTTATTTATTTATTTTTAGAGAGGGAGGAAGGGAGAGAGAAAGAGAAGGAGAGAAACATTGGTGTGTGGTTGTGTCTCACTCATCCCCCACCTGGCCTGCAACCCAGGCTTGTGCCCTGACTGGGGATCAAACCAGCAACCCTTTGGCTTACAGGCTGGAGCTCAATCCACTGAGCCACACCAGCCGGGGCAGTTTCTTATACATTATGAATATTAACCCCTTGTCTGGCATATCATTGGAGAATAATTTCATCTGTCTAGTAGGTTGTCTTTTTGTTTTGTTCATGGTTCCTTCTTTGTACAGAAGCTTTTTAAGTTTGATATAGTCCCATTTGTTCATTTTTTCTTTTCTCACTCTTGCTTAAAGAGATACATCCAAAAAAACATAACTAAGAAGACTGTCAAGATTATACTGCCTTGAATTTTATGGTTTCAAGTTTTACATTTAAGTCTTTAAATCATTTCCAGTTTATTCTTTTATATAGTATAAGAAAATTTGTCTAGTTTCAGGTGTAAGGTTAGATTGTTTACTTGAGATTTTTTTGTTTCTTGAGATACACCTATATTACTGTAAACCTCCTTCTTACAGTTGCTTTTACTGTGTCCCTTAGATTCTGGGTTGTATTTTCATTTTCATTTGTCTCTAGGTCTCTTGATCTTTTTTTTAAATCTTGTTAACTTACTCATCGTTTGGTGGCATGTTATTTAGCCTCAGTGTGTTTGCGTGCTTTTCAGTTTCTTCTTGTAGTTGCCTTCTAGTTTCCCACCATTATGATTAGAGAAGATGCTTCATATGATTTTATTCTTTTTAATTTTATTGAGACCTGTTTTATGGCCTAACGTGTCATCTATGCTGGGAAATGTTCCATGTGCACTTGAAAAAATGTATATTCTTCTGGTTTTGGGTGAAATGTCCTAAAAATATCATTATAAGATGATCCAGTTGAACATGTCATTTAAGGCCACTGTTTCCTTGTTGATTTTCTCTCTAGATGATCTATCCTTTGAAGTCAGTGGGGTGTTAAAGTCCTGGGCTATAATTGTATTACTGTAGATCTCTCCCTTTATGTCTATCAATATTTGCTTTATATATTTAGGTGCTCCTACATTGAGTACATAAATATTTAAGAGTTGTTTCCTGTTGTTGGATTAATTTCTTTATTATTATGAAATGTATTTCTTTGTCTCTTGTTACAGCCTTTGTTTGAAAGTCTATTTTGGAAATAATCTTTTTTCATCCCTTTACTTACAGTCTCTGTCTTTTGATCTGAAGTGGGTCTCTTGTACACAGTATATATGTATGAGTCTTGTTTTCTTATCCCTTTACCCACTCTGTGTCTTTTGATTAGAGCACAGGTGGCAAACACAAGGCCTATGGGCCAGATCCAGCCCTCTACCTTGTTTCATCTGGCCCAGCACCTTGTTTCTACCCAGCAGCAGTGATGAGCTCCTTGCCCTTAGTTAAGGAATAGTTACATTTACACAGTCCTAAATTATATTCAGCCCTTTGAAGGCAACCGTGAGGCTGATACGGCCCCTGGTGAAAGTGAGTTTGACACCCCTGGATTAGAGCATTTAGTCCATTTAGATTTAAATTAATTAATTACTAACATTTAAATTAAGGATGCAGTTATTGCCAATTTATTAATTGTTTCATGATTGTTTTTGTAGTTCTCTGTTACTGTCTCACTGTCTTACTCTCCTTTCTTGTATTTTGCTAACTTTTAGAATATTGTATTTAGATCTTTTTCTCTTTATTTCTTGTATATCTCTGTAGATTTTCGGTTTGGGGATACCATGTGCTTCATGTATATCAGGCTGTGTTTTTAGCAGTCTGTTTTTAAAGCTGATGGTTGCTTAAGTTCAAAATACATTCTAAAATCCCTACCATTTTTACTCTCCTCTCATGTGGATTTATTTGGGTTCGTCTTGTTTGAGAGACTGTGCACTTCTTGGCCTTTGTATACACTTTTTTTTTTTTTGCCAGATGAGGCAAGTTTTTGATCATTAATTCTTCGAATAGGATTTCCATCTCTTCCTGTCTCTCTCCTCTCTTTCTGGCATCCTTATGATACAAATGTTGGTAGATTCCCAGTCAGGGCACATGCCTGGGTTGCAGGCTGGTTCCCTGCAGGCCAGTTCCCAGCAGGGGACGCACGAAAGGCAACCATACATTGATGTTTGTCTCCCTCTCTCCTTCCCTTCCCCTCTAAAGATAAATAAATTAAAAATCTTAAAAAAACAAAACAAAAACAAATGTTGGTATGCATCAGTTGTCCCAGAGATAACTTAAAATTTATTTATTTTTTTCTTATTGCTGTTCTGGTTGGTTGTTTTCTGCTGCCTTGTCTTCCAGGTCACTGATTCAGTCCTCTGCTTCCTCTAATCTGTTGTTGACTCCATGTAATACATTTTTTTTTTAAAGTGGTTTTTCATTTGTGACAAGTTATTTTTTTATTTTATATCTCCTTTTTGAAGTTCACACAGATAATTTATTTTTCCCTGAAATTTATGGAGCATCCTCATAAGCAGTGTTTTGACTTCTCTATGTAGTAGATTGGCATTCTTCTTCTGTTTCTTTAGTTCTTTTTTCTGGAGTTTTGTTCTGTTCTTATATTTTGGACATGTTTCTTTGTTTCCTCATTTTGTCTGCCTCTTTTTTTTAAATGCATTAGGTGGATCTGCCGTATCTCCCAGTCTTGGCAAACTGGCCTTATGTAGTAGGTGTCCTGCGGAGTCATGTGGTGCAGACTCCCTGTCACCAGAATAGATTGTTCCATGGGTGTCCTTTGTGTGGTGTTCTATCCTTTTTGTAACCTTGATTGTTGTTGGCACATCAGTGTGTAAGATTAACCCTCAGGAAAACTGGCTGTGAGGGCTGGCCGTGACCAACTCTTGGGCAGAGATTGACCCCACAGAGCACCTGTGTTCTGGCGCCTGCTGAGTATTCTTTTGTGCGTGTCATTTATGGAGATGGTTGAGTGGTGGGTGCTCTGATGCGGTCTGAGCACCACAAACTGGCTGCCTGGTGTGTTGGTTCTGGGGCCTTTTGGGAGGGACTCAAGTGCATACCCATGTCAGCTGCTGCCTGTGTCTGCTCAGGGGATACCTGTTAGGAGCTACAAAGTGACCTGCAGTTGATAGCCACCTGTGGTGGCCTTGGAGGCTCCTGGGAGTAGCTATGCCGTAGACAGAGGCTGGCTGCCACTAGAAGAGGTATGGGGAATGCTGAGACCAGCTGCTGCTTGTTTGGGGTTTGTGGATTTTTGAGAGATTTTAGGAAATTCTGCAATGCTGGCCCAGTCCATCTGCTTGTATGGAACAGCCACTGAAAGGGCCAGACCGGGCTCATGGCTTGGGTGAAGTTGATTCTCAGAATCATCAGGGTGCACAGAACAGTGTTAGCCAGATTATTGGAGATTTTAGACTTGTCATCGGCTAGCACCTGCCAACACTTTTGTCCAGGAGAGAGCTGTCCTAACTCCTGCCCCTACAGCCACTGCCCTGAAGCCAGTCAATTCAGTTAATCCCCTTTATGTCCCTGGGACTTCTAGAGCTGCTACTCCAACATTGCAGCTCCAAGTTAAGAGAGTTTGTGAGCAATTGAGTCTTTAAGACCTGCAGTGCCTTCTTTCCTAGAAGCTTCTTTCTCACACACAGTTTGCACTGGTTTTCACAGCCTGATGTTAAGGGACTTGTCTTTCTACCTCCGATGCCCTGGGCTGGGGAGCCTTGCATCTTAGGGGGTCCTCCACAGCCCAATTATCCCTCCTGATTCTTAACCTTCACTCAGGGGTGTGGGACAAGCCCATTCTGGGTCTTTGCCTCTCCTACGAGTCTTGCTGTGGCTGTTTCTTTATACCCTTAGTTATTGGACTTACGATCAGCTAGTCTTCCAGTGGTTTAATACTTAAAAATTTAAAAATAAATAAAGCCAATACTTTTCAGCAAAGTTATTTTTCTCTGTACTGAATTTTAAAGGCATATTGAAGGAGGAGAGAATATGTTATCAATTTGTAGCCATTTCAGGTCTTTGAAGAAACTGCATGAAATTGTATTAATTCACTCTGAACTAACATGGAATTTGTTTTGTTGCATGGCCTGGTTTGCGGTGGAATTCACATCAGAGAGTAAGTTCTAATTCTTTTTATTCCTTTGTCTCACATAATGTGGTTAGTTGTTAATAGTGTTAACCTAATTGTAAGAGACTGGGTAAAGCCAGGGTAGGCATTTTTAATGTTTTGGAGACTTTGGAGGAAATTATGGATCATGTGAAATGTTTGGTTTTCATTTGCGTCTAGGTTTTCAGTATGTTTTTGGAGACTCTTGTTGATTTTATAATAATTCATAAGGATGACTTGCAAGACTGGCTTTTTGTTCTTCTCACACAATTACTTAAGAAAATGGGGGCAGATTTACTTGGATCTGTGCAAGCAAAAGTTCAGAAGGCTCTAGATGTCACGAGGTAAGTGTTCATGGAATAAACCATTTTTTCCCTCGTTTTTGAGATATAATTACATAGAACATTGTATAAAGTTAAAGTGCACAATGTGATGATTTTGGTACATGTATACATTGATAAATGATTACCACCACAGTGTTAGTTAACACTTCTTCAACCTCACATGATTATTTTTTTTTGTTGTAGTGGTGGTGAGAACACCTGAAGTCTATTCTCTTAGGACCTTCCAAGTGTATAACACAGAAATGCTAACTATAATTGCCATGCTGTACATTAGATCCCCTGAACTTATTATATTCATGTTACAGCTGGAAGTTTGTACCTTTTAACCAACATCTCCCCATATCCCCCACTTCCTAACCACTGGCAACCACTGTTCTATTCTCTGTTTCTATGGGTTCAGCCTTTTTAAATATATATATTTCACATATAAGCCAGAGTTAGGGAACATTCCTATATCATTATAGCATTGGATTTATAAGACATTGGCCACATAGTCTGGGTTGATCCAGCTTATAGGAAATGAGTGAAGTGGATAAGAGTGAGGGTCATGGATGGGGTGGAGAGGTACAGTCAGTTGTGCTGTGCTAGAGCATGGACCCAGTGGTACCAGACTTTTCAAGGATGGTCCAAAATGTGGACTAAGGCAACACATTCAAGAATTTTTTTTATGACACTGTTAGAATCAAATAAAACATTTGTGAGCCAGACTTGGCCTGTAGGTCACATGCTTAATTTAAGTGAATTCTTGAATGACAAGATCCATTTCAGATTTTTTAGGGATGGCAAGAATATTATGATTATATTCCTAACCTTTGGTGATTAAGAAAAAGTTGTTCTGTTAATTTTTCTGAATGTCTCTTTCCTTTAAGAATCCTGTTCTCATTATATTTGGTCTAAGCCTCTAAAGCATGTTTATCATTCCCTTTTTCTCAGCTGCAGAGGTGTAACTGCTTAAGCTTCTTTGGGATCAGACAGTGAGGATTCAGGGGCTCAGTGATAGACCTGATTGCAGATCTGCCTGGTTTCCTGTCCTTTGGCTATACCTAACAAGAGGGCATGTTTCTTGGTTAAATACATCAGTTATTTGCTATGGAGGAAAGGTTTCTGTGTGTGGTTTGTCAGCCTTATTTTTTTAATTTATAACCATGTGAGTTATTTAAATCATGTAGTATACTGAAGTATACTTTACTTCCAGAAGTGGTCCTCAGAACTTCCTGGGTACAAATAAATATAGTAGAAAAGGATGTGCTATTGGGCCAAATTTACTTCTTACTAGTAATTATAATGCTGGTAATACTAATACCTAGTATGTGCCGCGCACTTTACATTTTTCTTTTATTATTTCATTTAAATTTCACATCTGTCATTTTATATTTTTGAACCTGGATCTCTTTTCTTTTTAGTATACTTCTCTAGATTGGGAAAAGTCTCTAGGAGAGTCCAAAGACAGCAGTGCAATCACTCAGCCTCAATTTAATAGATGTTTGCATTGCATTGTTTCCTGTTAGTATCAATAGTACATCTATCTGCATTTATCCACATGGGCTCCATTGTGCAATTTTATACTGCTACTAGTAATAGCGGCATTTTAAGGGAAGGAGAGAGAGCTCTGACTTTAGTTAGCCAAGCGCCCTCAAAGTTAGTCAGTTGGGCCACATATGTAAGGTGACCAACAAGATCAGATCAGTAACAGAAGAAATGGAGTGGAAGAGGGGCTTCTGGGACCCTCAGGTTTCTTTAGCTGAATGTGTATTTCTCTTGTTCAGTATTCCACAGGCATTCTTCTTGTGACTATACCAATTAGAGATCATAAGCACTTACCCAGCTAGAACCAAGGAAGACAACACAGTTAGCTAAGCAAGGTCTGCTAACCTTACACCTGTAGGCAGTGTAATCAGGATGTAAAAACTGACAGTGTTTTCTGGGTAAGCAATATTTAGAAAGATACAGAAGTTTAGTATGTGTTTGGGGACATTCAATAAGATTTCCCTTTTTCTAAGTATTTAATGTAATTTGTATTACTTTAGTATTTAAGATGAAAGTACTATTTAAAAAATGGGAACATGCTTGGTTTTACATACATTAATCTACAACAGTATATTTTTTCTTTTTGTATGGTTTTATACTATGTTATAAACTTTTCTTTAGAAACAAACACTTTTTTCTGTTTTTCAAACCCAGGGATTCTTTTCCATTTGATCAGCAATTTAACATTTTGATGAGATTTATTGTGGATCAAACTCAGACTCCTAACCTCAAGGTTGGTAATGATTTGGCATTACAATTCAACATGTAGAAGCCAGTTTTTTTCACATGACTTGTATTTGCTGTTATGAATAAATCTGCTGCTAGTGTTCTTGTTCACCTCTTTGTTGACGTGTTTTCATTTCTTTTGGTTCAGTACTCAGTAGAGAAATAGCCAATTTATTGGGGAGGTGTATGTTTAATATTATTTTAAACTGTTCAAGTGGTTGTATTATATTCCTACCAGGAATGTTTAAGAACTCTAGTTCTTCCATGTCCTTACCATCATTTGGGTATTGTTACTCTGTTACAATATTTAAACTAGAAAATTCTGGTTTGTTGAGGTAGGTATTTTATTGAGAATTTTAAAAATAACACTCTAAAATATCAGCAAGTTTGCTAATATATAGTGAATTCTTGATTTTAAAAAAAGCACAGGAACTTTTGATTCTATACCATAGTTGGAACACACTCTCTTTGATTTGGAGAGTGAGGTGGGGAGGTGAATTCAGATTTTTGAGGCACCGTGATACCAAGGTGTTGTTTCACTGTTACTGTGTTTTAAGCCCCTGATGAAAAAGATCAGCTACTTTTTCTGAAATGGCACATTAAGTGGAGAGCACAGGATGCCATTATTTCTGTTACGTGGAAATTACTCATTACATGTTATAAAATCATACCTGTAATAAAACTAAATCAAAGGGAGGATTTGTGTTCATTTGGGTAAAGTTGTGTACACCATCTGGTTTTTAATCATTAAACTTTGGTTGGTATTTTAAGATAGGCCCAGTTAATAATTACTCTTTACCCTGAGGTCAACACCAGTTGAGACATCAATGAAGAAGTTAGGGCAGACTATCAGCTTGGTTACTGAACATGCTGCTTGCAAGAAATGGCTCATAGAAGTGTCCAATCCACAGACCACATGCAGTCCAGAATGGCTATGAATGTGGCCCAACACAAAATCATGACTTTATTTAAAGCCTTTCTATTGCTCATCAGTTTTTGTTAGTGTTTGTGTATTTAATGTGTGGCCCAAAACAACAATTCTTCTTCTAGTGTGGCCCAGAGATGCCAAAAGCTTAGACACGCCTGGTCTCTAGAATGTCTAAAAATCAAAACTAACTACAGCATTGTACTTGGCCATACCAGTCAGTGGTAGAGCTGGAAATCCCACAGCCTCCCCACATGGACTACCACCCTGTGAGTGTCTTGCAGCATACACAAGGAGCAGGACACAGCCTTCTCTGTAGGCATGGCACTCAAAAAATGAAGAGCATTGATCTGCACACCACTCTTCCAGTTCCCAAACTTACCTGTCAGTCATTCCATGCTTTTTCTCCTGATCGATGCTGGCTTCATGTGGAGCCATAACTCCAGGTGAAAGAAGGTGTCCCCTCAATAGTGTTTACTTTCCTCTGATCACCACATAAGAATTTTATTCAAAGATTCATGAAGTGTACTTAATGTTTATAATTATTGGATCTTTCAGGTCAAAGTTGCAATCCTGAAGTACATTGAGTCTCTTGCCAGGCAGATGGATCCAACTGATTTTATAAACTCTAGTGAGACCAGACTTGCTGTTTCTAGAATAATAACCTGGACAACAGAACCAAAGAGTTCAGATGTGAGAAAGGTACGTCCAAGAGAGCAGCAGTGTACTTTTAATGGTAGACTATTCTTAGGATGTGTTTTCTAGATAAAAAAGAAATTTATCTAGAAACTTGCAAACCACCCCACAAGGGGTGGTTTATACGCAAATTTATATGCAAATCTATACGCAAACCTCTATCGCATCTTTTCTATGAAAACCAAGACTTTGCCCTTATCCCTTATCTTCTCTTTCCAACTCTACCTCATTCCAGTCTCTGAATGTTAAATTGAAAATCTGAAATCTTGTATAATGGGTTTATGGTTTTTGTAGACAACTATTCATGTTTTTAATGTGAAAGCACTAGTAGTTTAGTGTCTCTTACACAGAAATTGGTTTCCCAAATGTTAGTTCTGTATCATGTACTTCGAAGATAGAATTGCAGGTCTAAGACTCTATGGTCGTAAGGTGCCAAATAGTAAAATGTGGCTGAAAGTTTGCTAATATATAATGAATTCTTGATTTTAAAAATAGCACAGGAACTTTCAATTCTATACCACAGTTGGAACACACTCTTTGATTTGGAGAGTGAGGTGGGGAGGTGAACTCAGATTTTTGAGACACCCTGATACCAAGGTGTTGTTTCATTGTTGTGTTTTAAGCTCCTGAAGAAAAACATTTGCTACTTCTTCTGAAATAGCACATTTAAGTGGAGAGCAGCACAAGATACCATTATTTCTGTTACTAGTTATTCTGCCTCAGGACTATTCTGAAGATTAATTAATATATGTAGAGCATTTAACCAATTCCTGACACATCATAAGCATAAAACAAATACCAGGTATTACTGCGTTTGTTGTTTCTGTTGTTTTCTTCCTGTCAGTGTCACGCCCTTCCGGGCTTAAATTTCATTTGTTACTGTCATTCTTTTACGTTACATAAAATTAACTAGCCTTTATAGAAAAGTACTTTTAAAAGCAGGTTTCTGTTTTCAGACTAAAAATACATAATTTTGGTTATTTGTGTATAATCATGAAGATCACATTTTTTTCTTCTGTACCGTACCCATTCCATAGCCATTGCTACCAGGGGCAGAGTTGATCATGTGGACCACTTGGGTCCAGGCAGGGAAAAAGGAAAAAATGATTCCAAGGAATAGTTAGCAAGGTTGTTATCTCTCCAGTGAACACTTGGCTCCTTCTTTAAAGGAATGCAAGGAGAAGAATTGAAGAATTTTCTAAAAGGTTTCTTTGGAGGGATCACAGTCCATGTATTTCTCAAATTCATTGTATAGTAATAAACTTAAATTGTTCAAGGTCAAAGGAATAAGGGCAGATCTTATTAAAGCACTTATTTAAAATTGTTCTAATATTAATATTTTTGATTCATTCTTTCATAAAATTTCTCAACATGTATCAAAAGAGCATTTCACTGGCAACTTTTATTTTAACTATTAAGCCCATTTTGGATTAGAGAAGTACAGTGGGAGGTGGTTGAATGATTTGGTGGGTTTGTAAGTCAAAAACATTACTCATTTTTGTCGTGATTTTCAAAATTATAAGATCAGCCAGTAAATACAAAAGCCTTAAGTGTAGCCTTTTCTACCTTTAGTCATAACACGTAAGTATGTGTGTATCTGTGTGAGTACATGCTTTTGTAACTGAATGTTAGTGAAGTAGTCCCTTCTGAAACATACTTTAGACTTCCCATTACCATGATTAGGGCCTGTATGGGAGCAACTAACTGACCATAATGTCCATTTTCTTTGGGCATGCACATTAAAAATGTGAACTAGGATTTATTATCCTAACTTTTCTAATCAGGACATTACAGGAATTTTTTTTCTTGTCTGATCTAGCCTGGCACTTCAAAACATTTTAGCGTATTTTAATACTAGCTTAAGTCAAATGTGGTCAGGATATTAAATTTATTGCCAATAATCACAAGGTTCATTTATTGTTTGATCTTTAACACTTAATTTCAATTATTTTGGATCATACAGTACTTTTCACAAAGACTAATCTCCACTGTCATTCTACTTCTGATGCCTGCCCTTACTTCTTACCCTTCTCCATTGTGAGGACAGCTTAGTACCTCACCTTCAGACTAAGGTCCACCCCAGGTCTGGGACAATAATTTTGACCTTCACAGGAATCTGAAAAGCTTTATATCTAAATAGTTCTTAGTTTTGACTGCAGCTAAAAAACCAATCTGGTTACCTGGGCTCTACCCCAGGTGATTTGACTTAATTGATGTAGATAAGATCTTGGATATTGTTTTGTGTCTGACTGGGATTTCCTCCACTCTTGGCTGATTTTTAATATATAACATTGAGACCATCATTTTACATGATTACCCTGGGGTTGAACTTCAAGACATTCAGATTGCTAATGTCATCTTGACCTGGTTGGCACTCATTCTTTTGGTACCCAGCCAAGATCCTCAGTATCTTCAGGACAAGGCCTGGCCTTGCCATTTCCTAGCTCCTTCCCCATCTACCTACTCTCTTGTTCACCCTTTGTGCTCAGAATTTAGCATAATACTTTAGGAACAAAGTAGGCATTTAATAAATACTTAGAATGACTTAATGAATGATAAATACCCAAAGAGAAATGATCTGACTTCATGTAACACTTTCAAGCCATTATTTTCAAGATCATAGTCTTGAAAGTTTCCCTCTTTGGTATCTGTATTAGTGTTCTCTCACATAACAAATTACCACAAACACAGCAGCTTTGAAACTATACAGATTTATTATATAACAGTTTTGTGGCATAGCAGTCTGGCATGTGTTCTCTGGGTCCTCTGCTCGAGTTCTTGCCAGACTGAAGTCAAGGTGTTGTCTGGGTCTTCGATCTCATCTGAGGCCAAAACTCCTCTCCCAGCTCACTGGTTCTTGGCCAAATTCAGCTCCTTACAAGTGGAGGACCAAGGTGCCTGCTTTCTTGCCAACTATCAACAGGGGACGCTCTCAGCTCGTAGAGGCTATTTGCCATCTGCTATGACATGGTTGTCTCCACAGCATGGCAACACGCTTCTTTAAAGCCACCAAGAGAATATTTAAGAAACAACATCCCAAACTTTATTTATTTATTTATTTTATTTACTTTTTAAATTTTATTTTAATTGTTGTTTAAGTACAGTGTTCTTTCTTTTACTCCAATCCCAGCCCACCCACCTAGCTCTCCCCACCTCCCTCCCATTTCCACTCCACCCTAGTTTTTATCCTTGTGTCCTTTATACTTGTTCCTGTAAAGCCTTCCCCTTTTCCCCTGAAATTCCCTCCCCTCTCCCCTCTGGTCACTCTCAGCCTGTTCTGTATTGCAGTGTCTTTGGTTATATTTTGCTTGCTTGTTTCTTTTGTTGTTGAGCTTCCTGTTAAAGGTGAGATCATATGGTATTTCTCTTTTACCACCTGGCTTATTTTGCTTAGCATAGTGCTTTCCACTTCCATCCATGCTATTGCAAAGGATAGGATAGAGCTCCTTCTTTCTTTCTGCTGCATAGAATTCCATTGTGTAAATGTACCATAAGTTTTTTATCCATTCGTTTATCTGTAGGCTCCTATATTGCTTCTAACACTTGGCTATTGTAAATTGTGCTGCTATGAACATTGGGGTGCATAGATTCTTTTGGATTGGTGTTTCAGGGTTCTTAGGATATAATCCTAGCAGTGGAATTGCTGGGTCAAAAGGCAGATCCATTTTTAGTTTTCTTAGAAAATTCCATACTGTTTTCCATAGTGGTTGTACCAGTCTGCAATCCCACCAACAGTACACTAGGGTTCTCTTTTCCCCACAACCTCTCCAACATTTGTTGTTTGTTGCTTTGTTTATGATGGCCATCCTGACCGATGTAAACTTGTATTTCATTGTAGTTTTAATTTGTATCTCTCTGATGGCTAGCGATATTGAGCATCTTTTCATGTGTCTCTGGATCCTCTGTATGTCCTCCTTGGAGAAGTGTCTCTTTAAGTCCTTTGCCCACTTTTTTTAATTAGGTTGCTTGTCTTCTTAGACTGGAGTCGTGTAAGTTCTTTATATATTTTGGAGATTAAACCGTTGTCTCAGGTATCATTGGCAAATATGTTTTCTCATATGGTTGGTTCTCTTTTTATTTTTATACTGTTTCTTTAGCTGTGCAGAAGCTTTTAATTTTGATAAGATTCTATTTGTTTATTCTTTTATGTCCCTTGCTCTAGGAGACATACCAGTAAAAATGTTGCTGTGTGAAATATCTGAGATTTTCCTGCTTATGTTCTCCTCTAGGCCTTTAATGGTGTCATGGTTTGTACTTAAATCTTTCATCCACCTTGAATTTATTTTGGTGTATGGTGTAAGTTGGTGCTCAAGTTTCATTTTTTTGCACATAGCTGTCCAGTTCTCCCAACACCATTTGTTGAAGAGGCTATGCTTACTCCATTTTATGTTGTCCTCCCCCCTTAGTGGAATATTAATTGACTGTAGAGACTTGGGTTTATTTCTGGGCTCTCTGTTCTATTTCACTGGTCCATGTGCCTGTTTTTATGCCAGTACCAAGCTGTTTTGATTAGAGTGGCCTTGTAATACAGTTTGATATCAGGTATTGTGATCCCTCCTACTTTGAAGTGTTTGTTCTATGTCTGTGAAATATGCCATTGGTACTTTAATAGGTATTGCATTGAATCTGTAAATTGGTTTAGGTAGTATGGACATTTTGATGATGTTAATTCTGATCCATAAACAGGGTATATGTTTCCATTTGTATCTTCCGTGATTTCTTTCCTCACTGTTGTGTAGTTTTCTGAGTACAGGTCTTTTACCTCCTTGGTTAGGTTTATTCCTAGGTATTTTATTTTTCTTTTTTCCATATCAAATGGGATTCCCCCCTTGATTTCTGCTTCTGCTGTTTCACCGTTGGTATACAAAAATGCCTTTGATTTCTGGATATTGACTTTGTATCCCGCTCTTTTACCAAATTAATTTATTAGGTTGAGCGGTTTTTTGGCTGAGTCTATAGGATTTTCCATGTACACTATCATGTCATCTGCAAACAATGACAGTTTT